TTACATCAGCCTGTTTTCAGGGCCTTTTTTTTCGGCTACATATTTGTTATTTTTTGCTACATGCCTCCCCATCTTCTTGCCATATGTTTCTATGGCATGAATCAGTATCTGTGACCTCTTTTCATTAAAAAAAAGAACATTGGCACAAACCTAGCCTGTATGTATTTTTTTGTATGTCATCGAGAGTATTTAAATGATTTTCAATCAGAAAAAAAATGTGCGATTAAAATGCGATTAATCACGAGTTAACTTAGGCATTGATGCGATTAATCGCGTTTAAAAAATTTTTATCGATTGACAGCACTAGTTGTAATACATTTCTGGTAACACTGATTTTAAAAACAATAGACAGGGCTTCAACTATAGAAAATAATTTTTGCTTGATTTAGAACCTTCTATTAGACAGTTATTTACTAAACTATATGTTTTATTTAACCCCCAGATTTTCATTTTACTGAAACCAATGTGGTCTATAACTAAGATTCTGCTTTATTGTGCAAAAGATATTATGAATTATTGGCTTGTATTGAAACTGATTCATGAATGCTGGTATAAGATGGATTTGTCTAATTTCACAATATGAGAAAGTATCTTATCCACGTGTTAATTAATTAAATCTTCAATGGTCATTGGTCAGATTCTTCACTCTCTTTCCAAATAGATATTGGTTTTTATTTATTCCAAATATAAAACTTTGATGGAGAGTCTTGGAATCTTATATGTCCTACAGTAATACAAGGAAATGAAAGGCCTTCTTTAATTACCAAGAAGGATTCCTACCATTTAAATCATTCTTATTCAGTTCAAATGATTGCTGATCATAGTCTACCACATAATTGTTTTGGGTGGTTTCTATTTAATACCATTTGAGAAAGACATGTTACAATTTTCTTCTCTTTTTTGAATGGTTCTGGAATGACACATTTCACTCATGTTTTATAGCAGACGGCTCTAAAATAAGCATGTACAGTAGGTGGTGGGGCTTAGGTTTGCTGCCACTTTCAAAAGAAAGGGACATTCTGTTTGAATATAACATAATGAGTGACCTCTAATTGAACTCCACCTTTCTTTTTAACACAAACATACATTTCATTAAACACATATAGTCATAGTGTTTTGCTCTGTTGATTTTTTTAATGACTCTAATAATGATTTCATCATACATTACTATTCATGTAGTAAAGTAATATACAATTTTTTTTTATTGAAACAGGTATTGATCTGATTAGTAATATTTTACTTCTCTTATTATAAAAACTTCTGTGTCAGTTTTACTGGAGTATTATTATATTATATGCAATTTAAGGGGAGTTGTAAACATTTTAATAGTGAGCAGGGTCAAAGCCCAACCTACTCATATTTAAATTCATGTGATATTCATGTGAAACAGTATGTGATAAACTGTGATTCTGGCTAGAGATAAGGGTCTTTTTGGGCAAGGGAGATGAGGCAAAGAGAAGGAATCCTGTGTGCTCTGCTGGTTTTCCTGTATTCACAGAGAGGGGGCTGGCAAGTCACCTCTGTGGGAGGTCCTGTGGAGGAGTTGGCTAAAAAGGGCGGATAGGAAAGCTCTTATAGCTGGTTATTTACCAAACTTTCATTCTCTTCTCTAGTCATCATGTCAAGATGAAACATGGACACTGGTTCCCAATGTCCAAAAAACATGATCATGGCATATGGCACAACACCACTTTCTGTGGTTTTAGCTCTCACTTCATTGAACTCCAAGGTTAATATTTTATTCCTCGCAGTACTCTTACCTTATCTGTTTATATACAGTGTTGGGCACGTTACTTTGAAAAAGTAATTAGTTATACTTACTAGTTACTTCTCCCAAAAAGTAACTGAGTTAGTATCTGAGTTACTCTGCAATAAAAGTTGCTAGTTACTAGTAAAAGTAACTTTTGCGTTACTTTTGCGTTTCTCGCCCCCGTAACCCTCACCATCCGGCCCCCACCTTCTGGCCGTGTGTTTCAAAAGCCAGCTGAATAGAGTGGACGACAAAGACAAGGACCTGCAGAGAGTTTTGCATTTAGTGCAACTCAACGTAAATGACATCAGGGTGTATAAACCCCCGTCAGATAGCGTTCCCCCTGTTTTACATGGGGGGAACGGTATCTGATGCGGTGTAAATATCTTCAGGCTGCATTACATCTATCTATCTATCTATCTATCTATCTATCCATCTATCCATCTATCCATCTATCCATCCATCCATCCATCCATCCATCCATCCATCCATCCATCCATCCATCCATCCATCCATCCATCCAGATTTCTCCCTTTCTCCATATAGGCTAACACTTCATCGTTCACGCTCTCCATAGTTCCCCTGTGACGCGAGCACAGGGCGGCTGTTACGCGCCTTTAGCGAGTATGCACGTTTCCTGTCGCTTTCGCGGTGAATCGTGCCGCCTGCGCTATGCGGAGATGCAGGGGAAACCGTATCTGATGGGGAAACGCAGCTCGACGTAACACCGGTATTTCAATGTGGAAAACGCTACTTTACTGCTAGAGTCCTCTTCACTTTCCATCTCTCTGTGTGTGCTGTACGTTAACACCCGCCAGCGGAAACATCCACCTACCCAACTGACAGATGGAAACTTACTATACATCAGCCAATCTCATCCTCCCCTCTCTCATGAAAAGGCGCGCACGAGTCCAATCATGAAAAAAGGTTCATTGTTCGACCTGAGTAACGTCCAGTAACGAGGTGTCAGCAATGGTAACTGCGTTATAGTTACAGTCAAAGTAATTAGTTAGATTACTCGTTACTAAAAAAAGGTAACAGCGTTACTCCCATCACTGTTTATATATATGTATATATAAATACATATATATATATATATATATGTTTTTTTTTTTTCATACTCATTCTTGGACTTTTTCTCTTTTATTTCACACCTCTGCAGGGGGAAATGCTGACTCGCTTGGCTCCATTACCTAATTTTACTCATTGCACATATTCACAATATTGTAGCTATTATTATTGTAGCTATTAGCTAATATAAAATTTTTTAGATTTACTTACAAAGGAAGCAATATGTAAGATATTTTCAAAGATAACAAAAACTGAGATATTTCTGTTCATTTGGATGATTATGGCTTGTCACTGAATTCAATCTGAGGAATTTATTTCAGAAAATTAAATTCTTAATTACACCAAAAAGAAAAAAAAGAGATAAGTATTCAGAAATTTACTTAAAAAAACCTTTGTGTGATTGCCTTATTATTATTTTAGCCAATGTCCACATAATTAGAATCTTGCCTTATCCCTTCCTTGAGCATTACTAACCTTCAGATGATTTTCCTTAGACTTAGTGATTTACATATAACAACTGTTTGGTTTTTAGGGTAGTATAAACATAAATAAGAAACCTTTTTCAGAGATTTTAATAAACCAGATGTCTGACGACAGTTTTACAGGAGAAATTATTAGAAAAACATTTTTGTTTGATTTAAAAAAAGGAAATTAAAAACTTTAATCTTCCTTGTAACACAGTGATGAAAATGGCATAGGTCGAGATTGTTATGTTGCATCTGATGAGGATGGGGTTACATAATTAATGAAAAAATAAAATATTAAGGGCAATAGCAATTTCTTTAGACAAATGTCAGAACATCTGTTTCTGAAGTAAAACTATAAAAGCAGGTCATGCAGCAAGAAAACATCCAGAACCCAGTACTTGTTATTTTGGTACATCTCTTTCACTGTCTCACTTTATGAATTGGGCTAGAATATGATACCTCACTTTGGTACCACAAAAGAAAATATACCTTCAAAACGAAATTGACACCTGCCCTACTCCCTGCCCAACTGAGAAAAAAAGGATTAAAAGTGAAAAAAAACAATGCACAAATCAGTATGTTAATATGTAATAGACCTTTTTCACACTTCCGGGTTTTAAAGCGGATGTGGGGTTTGACAACTTCCGGTGGCTAGAGCGTTAGCATAAAAGTCTAAGAAAATGGCTCAGTCTCGGCGCAGTGGTTTTTGTTCTGTACCTGGTTGTTCATGTGGGGCAAGAAAACAGCCATATCTGTCCTATCATGCATTCCCACAGATTATGTTGCAACCGCAACAGAAACATAAAACAAATAGTAACAACTGAACAGGAAAATGTTAGAATAAGCTCTAAGTAGTCCAGAAGTCGTACGTGAAAGTTCTTCAGCCAACGAACAAGAGCCAACCGGCTTTCTGACTGTTTCAAACCTGCAGCTTGTGCGGTTCCTCATTTTTCTTCATGGATCTGAAGCATCTAGCTCTGACAACTACCTGTCCCTCGACAATATTTGACACTACAGGCATGCAGAAGTAAAGCATAGTTTCAACATCAAGCATCATCTAGAATCTCAGAACTAACATAACATTCTAGCATGCTGTTTTTCACAAACTGTAGTGGCAAACAAATTTCAGAATGTCAAAATACTGTCCGTCTCCAATATTCCACATAATTTAGATACTAAGTTAGGCTTCATTACGATGTTTGTGTAGCTCATATCTTGCAGCTAGCGGTTAGCTCGCTAAGCTACGTCTTTTCTTACCTTGATAGCTGTGGATATATTCTTCGTGGAAGAACTTGTATCCTTTCACAGATTTGTTGGTGGGGGAATTCGCCGAAGCGATTTCCTCCGCATCCGCCAAAGAAAGTGTTGGCAAACTAAGTAAGGATGACGAAAAGCACCGGAGGAGAGACATTTTTCAGAGTAAAACAGGAAGTGCTCCAGCCCTTTCAGACGCAGCTTCCGGTTGTCGTGAAAAAGGTCTATTGGGAGATAAACTGAATGACGTTAAAATTCAGTTAAAATGGGGCCAACCCTCCTCAGTTGCACCATGTTTAGCCTTGTTGTTTAAATAAGATAGAAAAGTAGGCCTGGTGCATCAGCATGAATTAAGGATGGGTTGCTAGTAATGATTTCCAATATATTTTAACTTAAATGTGTTGCCTGCAATAAGATGTTGTCGTTTTTTTGTTGTTGTTTTTTTCTTGATTTTGCAGGTTTTCAAGGACGTAATTGTGAAATTGACATAGATGCATGTACCTTGCCAGACTCTAGTTGTCCATCACCAACTCAGTGTTTCGATCTTCCTCAAGGCTTTGAATACACCTGCCGTATTCCCTGCCCAACAAACTTTAAGGTAGGTACATTTGAAACCCAATATTTAAATACGTCATGCATAAACAAACATCACATATCACAGATATTAACTCAGACTAGACATATTATGTGAACAATAATAAGCAAGAGACTTTTTTTTTTTTTTTCATAGTTATTGGTAGAGTTCAATTTAGTTCACTTCATTGATTCAGTGCCAATCCACAACACGTCATTTGAAGGCAATTTACAGAGACAATAAAATTACAAAATTTTTTGGCTTGGTTCAAACATTTTAAACATTCTTCTAAAAGAACCCCACAATTATTTGATGGTGTTTGAGTACATTCCCCTTACCAGAACTGCAGTGACCGAGTCAGGTTGGTTAGCAATCTTTCTTGCTTACACTTTTTCAAGTTGTGTTTTTTGCAATTGCCTTTTTGGAAGAACAGTTTTTGTAAAATTCCTGTCTGGCCAGTTTTAAAAAAATTTTCACCAAAAAATATCACCTCTGTACGGAAGAGGATTAGGGCCACTGAAAAAAAAAAAAAAAAGTTTACTGATTTTCAAATATTATTTCAGTTTAATACACCGACTTTAACCTCTTAACATCCACCTTATTTTGGGTAATCCTCACCTATTTTGCACACCCAAATGGAAAGCAAATAACTTAGGAACTGTAAGCCCAAATTACATGTGCAATACATTATTTGAAAGCTAACACCCTGTAGTTTAAAATTGGGTGACTAGAACACAGACCAGCCTGCATCAGTTCAAACATGACTCTAGTTGTTGTTTTTTTATTCTCGGAAATGATAGGTCTTTTTTGAACAGCAGTAAGAAAGACATTCTTGAGAAAAGCATGTTTTATTGTATATTTTTTGTTCTACATCATGTCAACCACAAATGCAGAAAATTTCAGACCTCTAGCTATAACAGTTCAAGAGCTGTGGCGTATGGAATATTTGGTGTCAGTTTGGAGCTGAGCGCAATGCTCCACCTGCTGGTAAAAATTTTACCAGTGGAATTCTGAGACCCGATGGATCTCAGAATTCTGACTTTAATTTAAGAATTCTGACTTTTTTCTTAGAATTCTGACTTTAATCTCAGAATTTTATTTTTTTTTTTATTCTGACTTTTCTAAGAATTCTGACTTTAATTTCAGAATCATGACTTTTTTCTCAGAATTCTGACTTTTATCTTAGAATTCTGAATTCAATCTCATAATTCTGACTTTTCTCAGAATTCAGATTTTTTTTTTCTTAGAATTCTGACTTTTTTTCTCAGAATCTCAGCATTTTTTTAGCCATTTGAGATAACTCATTGTTGTTAATAATCTAAAAGGCAGATTATAATTTTTCATAGAGCAGGAAATGAGGCATGATTTTAATTTCCAGTTGGAACGAGATAAAGATACTGAGGCTATTCTGAGCTGGGGAGATGTCTTTACATGTATGTTTGTAAATCCTACAGTACACTGATCATGAAAACTCTTTGCTATCTAGTGTTGAATTAAAAAAATACCTGAATATGCTCTAGTCAAACAAAAACAGACAGATTCTGATAGTTGCTCTTATATCATCCTTACATTGAAATTCAACTTCTTGTTAATACTGTACATAAAACTGAAATCGACATGACATAGAAAGGATGTCCAGATTCCTTACCCGTCTATTAGATACAGGGTCTTCATGATGGAGCAAATTCATGTCCCAAGCAGTTAATAAGCGAGTGGCAGAAGATGTAGACACAATGGGCCCCATGCAACATTTTCGTATTCAGTTATCCTTTTAAGAGTAAAACCTTGTTAAATTAAAATATGGGTTGAATGATGTTTATTTTTAGGCAAGTTTAAAAGAAGACAAAGCTTGACAAGTAAAGTCTTCTGGATATTTGCATTTCATCTGCATAATGGGGGAGATTTGTGGATCTGCTTTAATTACTTGATGTGAATGAATGCCAGAGACTATTGACAGTGCCTCTATTTTTTATGCATTTTTTTCTAAATGACTAAGCTAAACTTTTTTTTAAAATATATTTAAATCTAAACAGATGCTCCGTATGACAGATGGAGATGGTCCTTCTGTTGCTTGCATTGGGCATTATACAGGAACCCCATGATGTCTGTATTGAACTGTGTCCCATAAGGCACATCTTACTTTGCCCTTTTGTACCCCTTGTTCAGAAATGCAGCTCCTTGCCTTGTGCCTGCTTTGTTACAAGGATTTCTCTGGAGTTTTATCTCTCAATGACCATTGATCTTGTCTTGTAAGACATGGTCTAGATGGAATACAGAGTGAAGTCCTATATAAAGCAGAAATCAGTATTCATGAGTGTGTCGCTGGCTTGAATGAAGCTCATTTTCCCTGATCCAGGGGCAAGAAATTATCTTTTTTTCTTTTGAAAAAAATAAAAAAGATTTAAATCTGACCAGAATCAGTTCAACTGAATATGTTACATTAATGTAAAAAAAAAATAAAAAAGTAAATCTGCATCTCACATATAACACAACACATGCTTGATTCATTCATCTTTTATCAACAGCCATGTGCCAGTGGAGGTCAATGCGTGCTGAATACTGCCAGTAGCTATATGTGTATCTGTGCACAAGGTTGGTCTGGTCAGAACTGCCAAATAAATGTCAACGACTGTATCCAGCACTGGTGTCAAAATGGAGCTACTTGTGTGGACGAGATTGATAGTTACAGGTAAGTTTTTAAGTCTTGATTGTCCTCAGGCCATTCTTGCACAAGAATGTCAATGATTTTAAAGGCTGTGACATTTACTGCATCCCCTTTAGGGGTAAAAGAAATCTTCTGACTCTCTTCGCTATTAAGAAATTCTCTTTAATCTGTTGCCAGCTGCCTTTGTCCCGATGGATACACAGGGGTCTACTGTGAGCAGGACATTGATTACTGTTTCAACAGTCCTTGCTCTGAACACGGCGTTTGCCTGGACCAGCAGTTTAACTTCACCTGCCGCTGCATGCTGGGGTATGAGGGTCTGCTATGTGATGTGGAAGAAAATGAGTGCAACAGCTTCCCATGCTCAAACGGCGCCACCTGTGTGGACCTAATCAGTGATTATCGGTGCCACTGTCCCCTGGGGTTTGAGGGTATGAGACCATCTGATATAAATGCGAGCCCATTTTGCAGCTTTGATAAAGCTTTAGCTAAAGTGTTGGGCTTTAACGTGTAACCTTTCTTCTTAGAAACCGAGTTTTGAAACAATTTTTAGCATTTGGAAACATTCACCATTTTAAAACATTCAAAATACTTCATGACTTGTGACTACATCACAATAATAAGGCTTACTCTGTACAGGAAATCCCCTCATTTATCTGAAGTTCCTTTGTATCTTGACTTATTTTGAGTTAATCCAAGTAGGCAATTTGTGTGTGTGTTTTAAATGAAAAATCTAAAGAGCTGTGTGTCATGTGTGTTACCTAATATTTTTTGTGAACAACATTTACAAAAGTTTCTGTGTTAATTAGCATTTGTTGCCTCAACATGTATTCATCTTTTATTGCACTAGTATATGGTAGACAAAAAAAAATCTAACATTTCAACTCAGTTTATTCAATAAAGATATTTTGTTTTTGTTTAAAAAAATTAACAGCCCCTGTTTGCAACTAGGCCACAACCTGTAAAGTTTTGAAGGATTTAAAAATATCTCAACATCAGAGGTCTTCAATGGGAAACACTGCTGGAGAGTCTTGAGGTCCCACCCACAAGTTGCCATTCTGATGTTTAACCACACTGAAATTGTAATGCTTTTAGTTGTTTTATGCGAACCCCCATGTCCTTGTTGACAAGCAAACGCCATGTTCCATTCAGATATACACAGTTTTTACTCCAATGTCTTGTGGGGCAATAATGCAGAGGTTTAAACAGTATCTTCCCAGAGTAGATTAAGTGGAAGAAGAAGAAGAAAAAAAGAAAAAATTAATCGATTTCTTGCCAGAGCATCAATGAGATTTTTGTATTCTTGCTGTCCCTAAGATAAGTCCACACTGAGAAAACAGCAGGTCTCTCTTCACATATTTCTCTAAAACAAGCTCTGTTTTTGTTTTCCCTTCTTCGCATCATGATGTGACCTGTCGCTATTTATATGTGCTGTGTGTTTGATGCCACACTCTGAGGCAACAAGCCAAAGTTTACAAGTAAAATCAGGGCAGAACACATATGTCCACAAGAACCCTTAGCAAACACCTGTGGGTGGGCACAGTTGACCAAATTTACATCACAAAGGCATTGTGGTTGAGTGAACAGTAGAGCTGATGGGGAGATATTCAATTGGAATTGGTCTTATCTTGTGGCAGCTTACCGTTGCAGTTAAAGTCCGGAAAATGTAAACTTTGCAAGTTTACATTTGTTCAGGTGAAACAAAAAGAGCTCTCACAATGGCTGATTGCAATGCAAATAGAGACAAATTAGTTATTTTAAGGTTCTGATTACTCCAAGGACCTGATTTTAAAAGATTCCCTATAACAGGTGCAAAATTGCATGTGCAAGTACTTTTTTTAGTATGTACATAGAGTGGGCAATGTTCCCTGATTGCTGCAGAAATGTTGAGACGTGCAAACCCATTTGGTTCCACCCATTAAAAGGGTCAGATTGCATTTTTCTACAGACAGTTTGAGAGTGGCATTAAAAGAAACATAAGGTTTATAGCCATGAAGGGGGAGGAAATAATGATATTTATATATTTAAAAAAGATAACACTAAATAATATTTATAGAGTACTCTCACAGCACTATTAAAAAAGTTAAGAGAAAATGAAACATAACCATAATTAGTATACAGTAATATTTGTTATTCATTAATATTACACCACTGTTGTCCACAGTCCAAATGTTTACATTTCTCTCTCCATACTCAGGTGTTGTGCCAATACATTATTCATGAAAAAAATTACTTTTTTTGTGTATGTTTATACCTAAAACTGCGGTTGTAGTTATTTTATTCGGAAAATGGCTTTGCATGGGGGGGTTTTGTTTGTGCATACAAACACCTTTGCACCTGTTTTAAGAAACACAAACCATTTGCAGATCAGGCCCTAAGACTTCACTCTGTGTTGCTGTTCTTTATTGCTTCAGAGATTTCTTACATCTCAATTAAAATCCTGATTACTTTTAATGTCCGTGGATCAACACAAAAATAAATACATATTAAAGACAAGACAATAGCCCTATTTATTTACAAAAATGTTTGGGGTTCCAAATATTTTACCACATTTCCAGAGTGTGTGTACTTGTTTATGTTACCTATTTTGGACCGTTTTTGGTATATTTACTAAATTTCCGAGGACCAACAGGACCAAAGGGTTGCGCTAGTGTAGTTGGGACCCATGTTTTATCTTTGGGGATCATTTAGAGGTTTATTGTGAATTTACCTTAGGCTGAGGTTAGGTTTAGGAATATAATGGAAATAGGCATATAGTTTCAAACTTAGGCAAAAACACAGTGACTGAAATAAACACAACTCAAAGGTTTGTCTTAATATTGATAGAATAACAAAATTGTGTTTATATTTGCGCATGGCTGTTGGACTGTTTTCATGTTACATTTTTTTATTGTTTCACTTTTTATTTATTTTAAGGCCGTTTGGTTATTTTTTTAAGAAGTCCCAATCAAGGTGGCTATTGCTACACCCCACGTTATTTCTATTTAAGTATTTCCATCCAGCTTATAGGGTCATAGTGGCAAAACTCCTGCCTTTGCTTCAGTTAGCATTGCCTAAAGACAAATAGTGCCCTGTGGCACACAGAAAGCCAAGAGGTTTAAAACATTGCCACAGGCCAAAGCTGGATGGCTTTAGATTTTGTTGGTTAATTCCTTAGTCTGTTCCATAACAAACTGTTTCCTGGGAGATGCTAAAACAAACTTCCACCATGTATCCATACATTGACATATGCTTTTATAATGATTAATAATTTAATGACATTTTGATTCTAAACAATCAGAGTTGATCAGATGTTTATGTTGTTTTGTCCATGAAACTAGGGGAAATTATTAATATGCTTTCTGAATATGCTTTTTTCAGTAACTCCAAAGCAATGTTATTCTTTGCTTTGGAGTTACTGAAGCTCCAAAGCAAAGAAAAACTACATTCAATAGCAGCAGCATGGGGAAGATATTTCTCCAAATATCTCTCAGTTGTATTTCCTTTATCATTAACTAGAGCTTATTAATTTTTCTGGCTATGCTCTGCAGGAAGGACATGCTCTCAGAATGTAAATGATTGTTGGTCGCAGCCCTGTCTAAATGGAGGCTCGTGTGTGGATCTGATAAATGACTACATTTGTCATTGTCCTCTTGGTAAGTAGCATGCACTTGTACATTATTGAGGATGTTTACAAAAATATTCTGCCATTAATTATCTTCTGTACCTTGGGAACACATGAAAAGTTTATTCCTATTACAACTTGTTTGTTTTTGTTGATGGTATTTTGCATTTTGTGAAGAATGCACTTCCAAATATAGCAAAGAAACAGCATTGCTTAGTATCGTCTTTTCAGTTTGCATGGAGGCTTTTAGGAGAGCTCAGTGTGAACAAAATAGAAGCAATAAATCTCTATTATGAATAGCAGAAAGAAAAAAAAGTTGTTTTAGAAAAAAATTTTAGGATCAATGTCTGTGTTTAGCGTTTCCCTAGAACACTGATTTTATACAGGATGGCTATGATAGTTTATTTTTGGCCAACAACCATTTTTATCATGATAAAATATGGTAATTTATATGAAGGGTTTGTCCTGATAACGTTGACATAGCTTTTTTTGAGCCTAAATAGAATTGGAGCACCAGACATAATGAGCAGATATTAGCAGACAAGTAATAATAATAATAATAATAATAATAACACATTGTATTTGTAATGCACTTTACATTTAAGAAAAATCTCAAAGTGCTGCAGGTAAAATCATCATAGAAGGGTAAAATCAAAATTTTAAACTAAACATCGCTTTAAAACACTTATGAATAAAATCAAAATGTTAAAAGTCATACGTCCTGCTAAAAAGAACTGTTTTTAATTTGTTGAACATTGTAAATATTAACAGAAGGGCTTTATTTACAAACAAATTAATAAAAAAAATAAAAGAAGAAAAAATAACAAATAATACACCAACAGGAGGTGATAACTTTACAGGAGAACCTTTGTATGCAACCAGAGATAGTGGCATATACATTTGAAAAGTCATGCAAAGAGACTATGCACCTTTAAAATGTCATGCTGCAACAGCAGCACATTTTCGGCTACATATGTAATATCCCAAAAAGTTGTAAATGGATGCATTCAAACTATCCAAATGTTCATATTCTATTTAGTATAGGAAGTAGAACAACTTGAATACATTTCCTGATGTTAAGCATATTGCATTTTATAAATGTATAACTTCTATACATATTTTTCAGTTCGGATCATAGGTATAGAATAATTCTTTAAAGTCTGGTCCTTTTACATGGCTAGTTTATTGTTGTTCCTACAACACATAAAATGCATCCCAGGATCTCAGTTAATAATCTGCTTTTAGTATTTTCTGCCTTTTACTCAAATTAGATTTTGGCAGAAACAGAACACCAATGTGTGAGTAAAGCTCCCATTACTGTTTTAATTTCAGTGACAGATTTATAAACAGGTGTTTTTGATCTCCTTTGTCCATTTCAGAAGTACAATTAGATAAATGCTCTGCCAGATTGACACGCTTCTCCTCACAAAACACACACATACACTCTCAGATCAGGGAAAATAACAGGTTTTTAAGTTTTTTGCTATTTTGTATTTTCTTGTGATTTTGTCGTTTTTGTTAAGAGTCTCACTCTGGCAACAATTGTGGACAAATGGAAAGAGTCTTTTCATGTCTGAAGGATGACTGTCTGTTTTGAAAACTAAATATATAGCTACATTTCACAGCATTATACATGATGCTTGCTTTAACAAGCTGGTGAACAAGTAAAAAAATATGCAAGCAATTACTTTAGTACTTGCTTGCATACGTACTTTACTTTAATATCAGGATTTTTTTGTTAACTTCTCAGTTTTTGTTTATACTCGTCTTTTAATACACAATGTGGTACAATGTGCAGATTACATAGAGTGTATTACATAAGATGAAGACAGGAGGAAATTAGAAAAATACAAGAATGAAATAAGAAATTAAACCAATTTGCTAAACAAGGCAAAACATATAGAAATAATTCTCAGAGATATTAAAGTGTTAAAGTTGACAGCAGACATTAACAAGCTATGAAGCATGAATTTAAGAGTGCTGCCAAAGAATTATAATATGGATATAATAAAGTTAAGATAACATTGAAGTTTTTGAATCAGAAACCTTGTGCTTAAAGCCTAACCGTATAATAATTCTTTCTGAACTGTGACTTTCTGACAGAAGGCCGACTAGATTCATGCTTTCATTCCTACTGTCTTCATTTTGCAGCTAAAACAAAGATTCATCCAAATAGGCAGCATTTCCTGAATCTCCAGTGTCATGTTTTTGGTGAAATGCAATTAATTTCAGCCACTGTTTCCTTTTCTTAGGCAACAAGAGTGACACCTTGTGTACCTCAACTTTAGCAAATCAGTACTATGGTTTAATGTACTGTCAAAAATGCTGTCCTCAAAACTGCAGCTCACTAGATCTCTTCTGTTTTGAGCAATCTTTAAACTTGTGAAAGGATCAACAGATTCTAAGCCTATGTGGCAAAAACAACTACTCCAAGTTAAGTCAGTGAAATTCCATTTCTGCTGCTGTTTATCTCAGCTGCTGCTATGAATCTCACTCCATAGCTCATCTAGATGCCTAAAAGCAAAAATTTGCTGTCCGTGTGTTTGTCTGGTTTGTTAATGGTGTTAAAAGGCAACTGAACAAGTGCAGCTAATAACATGTCCTGTAAATGTGAGTTATTTTGGGTAATGATTTCCAGGTAAGAAATAAAATACTCATCAAATGAGCATATACTGGCATGATATAATGTCATAGTCTGATAAAACAGATTATTTTTGGTTAAAATCAATCAAGCTTTCTAAATGATGTCCGGCTTTTAAACCGATAAATACAACGTTATACTCTATATAGTACAAATTACAATTAGTTGAAAAATTCAAGAGAAGTGACATTGTTATTTCTTTGGTAAAACCACAAGCAGCTATCTGATAGAGTAGGGTGTCCCATTTGGAGATGGTGACTCTGTAAAAGTGACATTCCTTCATGCAACATTAACCTCCAAGTGAATTGCATGCACAATTGGTTATTAAACACTTCTGAAACACCCTGTTGGAGGCAATAGCTGTCCATTAAATAGTCAAGGCAACACATAATCTAATGGAAAAAGGGTAACTGGAAGGTCATCAAACATTCAGATTGATGTGACGATATAAAGAAAGCTGCTCTGGAGTTGGATTACAATGTAATAAATGCCAAGCTTACTTAAAGTTAAAAACATGTATTATCCAATACACCCACTGTTTCTAAATGTATGTGCAAGGCTTGATAAAAGAAAACATTATTTATTTGTCAGTTGGTGAAGCCATCATTTCAAATATGCACTTTCTTACGTAAATGTTCCTTCCTATTTACACTAGTGGCAACTGTTTTCTTATAGATTTACATATATTGTGTGGTTCTCAAATGCATTCATTGTACAACAGGATTTTGCTAAATAAAACAAACACAAAACCATAACATGATTTCGATTATAAGCAGACTTGAGTGTATATGGCCTCTATGGCATTACTATATTACTATATTGATTATAACATGCGCCCCCAACAGTCCCGTCCACAAAATTAGGGTCTGTTACCTAAGGGCACCTCCATGTTATAAGGGTAGTAAAATGCCAAGATTGTATGCTACTCCTGTTGGTGATACATGCCTAGAACATCTACCTTGGGAGGGATTTAAGAGTCATGCAGAAGAAAATGCTCAGGCTATCTCAGTAGATTCCTATAAATGTAAAGGTGCAGATGCTGAAGTCACAGGACCGTTCCAAAGCTCTTGACGTTGTCTTTCTATCCATTTGCTATAAAGCACTTTGGTCAAGTCTTTCTTGAAAAAGTGCAATAAGTATTTTACCATTTTTAAAGAAGACCCTGGCCACACTGCAGGGGAAACTCATTTCAGCAGTTTGTATGTGTGATCTCTTTTTTTTTGGTCATGACCCACATTTCATGACCATAGATGAGGATAAGAAAGCAGAAAAAACAGTAAATCAAGAGCTTTACCTTCCAGCTCTGCCCTCTTCAACACAATGGACCAAGAGCAGCAGATGCTGCAACAATATATCTGTTTATATTCCACTACATTCTCCCTTCAAATATGAATACAACTAACGAAAACTTAGCTTGTACTCTAAAGGCCGGAACTTCCTCCTCTACCAGGAGAGGGCAAACCCCAATATTCCATACAATAATGTTGTACTTCACCCACATGTCTTCACTTGGCAGCAGACAACCCCAATGCATGCTTTAGTTCTTGATTAGAGGGACCCGTCTGAGTCATGTCATCTGTTAAAAGCAGAGACAAAATCTACCTGTACCTGAACTAGAGCCGGCAAGATTTTTTGTATTGTACAAAATGAATTAAGAAAAAAAACAAGCAATCAATACATTATATTAGAAATTTATTTCAATTAAAATAACAATTTCTGCTAGTTCTTGTATAAGTTCTTCTGGATTACATCTGCATTCTTCAGAAAGAAAAAATTAAACACTCATGGAGGACACAACTTTACTGTTTTTACAAGGTAGTTGTGCCATTATGGGAAATCAACAATGTTGTAAGTTCTCCAACTTGGCAAAAAAATTATTTTACTTTACTTATTTTACCTGTTATTTATCCACAGATTAGGACCAGAGAGGCCATACATTTTTAAAGAAAAAATGGAAGCATGAAGCTGGAGGAGTTCATATCCCTCCTTTAATCTGCATTTGTGCACCCTCTGCATTTGTGCACCCTAACTGTTTAGCCCTGTTTCCTACACCCATATAAACATTTTGCATTCATTTCCCATGGGTAATAATTGGATATTTCAGCAAAATTATATACTATGTAGACAATAATGTATTCCTACTCAATTACATTTGTATGCAGTTCTCTGGTCAAACTAAACTGACCTAGCCGCAAACTGTTACCTTGAGGTAATGAATGGAAAAAATAACATTTTTGTAAATTAATTCAGAAAGTGTATTTACTCTAGAATTTATGCTTCTTCACATATTCACCTGTGTCACAAGTATTTGTTGGAAAAAGTTTTTGAGATTTAACAATCTAAAAAAAAAAAGACTTTATCTTGCCTTTTGCAAGCAGGGTGTCCAAGCCAACTATGGTCCCAAATAGGATGGTTTCCACCCTTTGAAAAAAGGGGGTAGAATGTGTACCTCTATGCAGTATCAGTGCTTTAAAGTGGAATTAAATTGTCAAGGTATACCATTAAATGAATGGAGTCAATAATAAATGTACATAAAATTAAAATTTACTTAGTCTTACTTGAATAGAATGTTTCAAATACGTGCTTATGACATTCCTACATGCTATTCATGCTTAGCAACAATTTTGTACTGTAATTAGATTTAAATAAACACAGGAAAACATGAAATTAACTGAATTGGTGTGTTTTAGTTCGAAGAATAATCTGTCATTCTGTTTCTATGTGCTTTATTTATAACTCTAGATATTGATGTCAGGATTTAGTCAGTGACATTCAGCTTTTGTTAGATACATTTGATATAGATCAGTCCTTTATAGTAAGCCGCTGTTAGTTATATTACTCAATAAGCACACAGCATAGCAGGTCGATTACCAAAGAAAGGTTTCAATACTATTAATCTGCTTTGAACAGATAAAGCTGTATAATTAAGAAAATGAGCTGCTGGCTTATTTGTTTTAATATTCATTATTTTTCCAAGGCTTGATTTGCATGTCTTAATCTGCATTTTTGTTACTGTTGCTTCAAGGGTTTAAGGGACGAGATTGCTCTCTGGATATTGACCTTTGCTCATTTGGACTGTGCAGCAAACACACAGTGATGTGCATTGAGAGCAAGGATGGGCAGAATGTCTCTTGCACATGTGAAAAAGGTGAGTGAGACCTTTAACAGGGGCAAAGTAGTAAGAGGGTATGTGTGTAGCGTTGTTAGTTAAGGGTGTGTATATCTGATCTCAGATGTCTTGGTAAAGATGACTGGACTGAAAAGATAAGTTGAACTGAAGAACACATGGTAGTTTTAAGTAGTATTTATTTGGCAAAGTTTAACCTTCTTTGCACATTGATTATATGATTTAGTCTTTTTATCATTGAACATTAAAAAAATGTTAATCCTTATATAAGCAGTAACATTTACGTCCCACAGTCTGATAGGTTTGGATTTCTCTCTTTGAGGATGAGTCTCATCAGTTGATAACATAAATTACTCAGGAGTACAGGGTTAGACTTGACTGAAGCTCTTTTTAGGGTCTAGGCTTCATGGTAAATAGAGCCCTTCATGTTGAAATGTGTACACATGCACCAGGAATCATGCAGCTCATTTCTGGATGCTGTCAGCCTCCTGGAACTGAAAACATTTTTCCCTGCCACACAGAGTATAATTCAGTCTGGAGCAATCTTGCCTCTCTTTTGAAACGGATGGCTATTGCATATAAGTTCATGTAATGCAATCAATAACTGTAACATCATTACTCCCGTTGCATTTATGCTTGGCATATGTCAGAATGAAGGATTGTGAGTGATTTCTTATGTAAATCAGTGCAACCTCCATCACGCTGAACTCCCCAGATCACTTCTCAAGGGTAAACTTTGAGTTGCTGTCTTGTTTAGATGTCTTATGTCAGCAATCTTGACATCTAGATTATCAACTTGTCTTCCTACAGTAAAGTACATCTGTTGTTCAAATCACTTTTGTTTCCACAGTGCTGTAAGAATGTATTTATACTTCTTAGTAGTGCTTAATTGATAAGGAGAAGAAACAGTATGAGCCTTGTTCTTTTTTTGCATGATCAAAATCTTAATCCAGACTACTATACCCACATGAAATAGGGTGATGGCAGCATCATGCTAAGGGGCACTTTTCACAATGGAACAGGGGAGGTCAAATGTATGCACCTAAAATCCTGGAAGAAAACCTTCAAAAAATGCTTTGAAACACTTTACATTAAGCAGAAGTTTCCCCTCCAGCAAGATAAAAACCCTAAACACTGAAGATTAGAACTATACAGCAAAGGGCTAAAAGTTCTTTATTTGATTGAGACTCTTTAGCATGATTTGAATATTTTCAGATTGTTTTTATTCTGTCTGACCATTTAGCTAAAAAGAAGATTTAAAATATAACTCCCTAAATGTGCAAAGTAGGACATATTTTCAGCCAAAGGTGAATAAAAAATTATTGACTGCAGGGGAAATAATAACAGATGGACCAAATGCTTTTTACATCTGTATTGGTTAAAATAGTGCCTTATTTTTGCCTATAGCCTAAACTGAAATAGTATTGTGTATGTAATGTGAAGCAATTTTATTTTTTCCCACGCAGTGTCTAAATAATGAACTAACTTGGACATTAAATTCTAAATTAAATGACATTCACTTCAAAAATTAATCATTAAGATACAAATAATTTGTTTGTAGTTATTGCAAAGAATGGCTTCATGGCCCTTATTCACTGCTCCTCTTCATCTAGCCATTCTACAAGAAGGTCACAAGCAGCCAATCACTGATGGGCACCTGCACACTGAAATGTGCACATTTGAGTGAAAAAAGAAAACCATTGGTGTAACGTTGGACATTTTGTGACTCCAGAAAAGTTATGATGATGTTGTATGTATTAAGTTTTATTTGGAAATATAAGATTTGGGTGGCCGTATCTTCAGTTTACTAGAAGAGTGCCTTGACTTGTGTGCTATGAAGTCTTCCAGCTGCAGGCATAACCAATCTCAGTTGTGAAAACTAATTTTGATCTACAACAACTTGAGGATTAAAAGAGTTTCACTCCCTGCACTTTTACTCCTTTTTGAAACCAAATGCTATTTAAACTGAAATATTGTTTTTTTTGTGCATTGTTTTAAAAGTGCTGTTTTGCATTTTAGATTATTTGCAGTAAAATACTTGAGCTCCATTCATCCTTGCATCAAAATCTCTTCCTGGCATTTAGACAGTTATATTTTGTTTTGTTTTGTTTTACCATCATGCAGGTTTTTGCTATGCAGCAGTTGTTTTTATTTGGCTTCAGTTTTTGTATTGTGTCACAGTTATTTTTGCAGGAAACTGCTTATTCTGCAGCCAAGCAGATGCTGTGGTCTTGCCTTTTATGTATTTTTCCATCATATATCTAATTGGAAAAAGCATCTTTTCAGCAGGTTATGTTCCGTTTTACCTCGGCTGACTGAATGAAACATTCATGTTGTACCCACTGTACATGCAAATATTTCTGTATGGGTTAGTTTAAGGTCAGCCTACATGCAGTTTATTTTCTCCTTGCAACAAAATGACTTAAACTCAATGTTTCTTTTTTCTTGTGTATACAGTATGTGTGAGCAGTCTGTTTGTCTGTTTGACTACGTGTGTGTCTTGAAGCATGTTAAGAACTTGATAGAGTTATGTCTGTGTATAGATTGACTTTGAATTCAAAAAGGCATTTGGACTCTTTAATGTATTAAATCAGAAGGCCAATGATGGGCTCTTATTAAACATGATTAAATGATCCAGTGAGCTGAGTCTGCCTTTTCTCAACAAGCTCTTTGAATCGATACAAACACCGAAAGCCATCTTTTCTTTGTGAAAACAAAGTCATGCTGATCCTAATTGGCTGAGGAATGAATCCAGGTGAACAGGGCTGAAGTAAAGGTTTTCTACTTTCTCTTATATGTGCTGCAGGGTTTGGAGGGTCATTTTGTGAAGTTAACCTTAATGAATGTGAATCTAAACCGTGTCAGAATGGCGGCATTTGCGTAGATGGCCTTGACCAGTATCGATGTCTTTGCTCACAAGGTAAGTTCCAGTGATTTCTCAACAAATAAAAAGAGACTATAGCAGCCTGTGCATTGTTTTCATAATCTGTATGGGTATAAGGTAAACCAATACCAATTTTAGCTATAAAATAAAGTTGAAGTTCTGTAAATAAAATGAGACTTGTGAAGATGCAATTAGAAAATTCAAAAAAAGTATACAGACATGGTTCAAAACTTCACTTTAATATGATTTTGAATGGCTAAGAATACTCTTAGACAACAGAACATGGTTTAAGGACAACTCTATAGAAAGTGGAAGTCTTAAAAAAAAACGTCATCATGAATAAGGATGTTTGCCACAAAGGAAGAAATTGTCATGCAGGAAAATTAAGAAGGCCAAACATGGATCTCCAGCAGAAAAAACACTGATAATATTAACAAATAATGTTATTTAAGGAATCTGACTACATTATTTGAGATCAGAACCTTAATTCAATGTTATTGGAACAGAGTCCTTCAACCAAGTAAATATCTAGAAGTCTAAGTAAATATCTAGAAGTCAGGAATGGAATCGGTCATAAATTTCACTGTACATCACAGGATTCTTGTGGAAAACATGACACTACCTTTAAAAAAGAAAAAGCTTATCTGGATATGTGATCTAACAATTTAAAAGAATTGAAATCACAAGTGACAAAAAAGGTCATAAAAAGAGCATGTTAGCCTACAAATGTTCTGAAAATACAGTAAAAACATTTAATTGAAGTTAGATGACAAATCCCTGAGTAAAATCTATTTATAGCAGTTGTACATGACATAAAACAAACAAGTAGTAAATGGAAGCAAATGTATTTTTTCCCAAATCACACCTTTAATTTTTGAAGAAAGAATCCCTGTTGTTTTTTTTACTATACATACATCTGTAAATCCCATTTTCGTTTATTTTGAAGCAAAAACATATTTTTCTTTTAAAAGTTACACAAATCAACAGCCCTTATTATTTTGAGCAGTAAATGAGAGGAAATGGAATTAGATTAAGAATAACAGCGTTTTTTTTTTTTTCTCTAAATGGAGAGAGAACAAAAATAATTCAATTTTATAGACTAATAATTCCAAATGGAGTTACCAATTTTGTAAATGTCTTATATGTACCTCATGGATAAGGATTTTTTTCCACGCATCTTAAAAAAAACTTTGTTTCTCATTTCTAAACAGTAAATTGAGTAGTTATTTTAAGCAATAATTTCGCATGACCCTCACAAAGTTAAAATTAAAATACTAAGAAATATCCACAATGTCCATAGCAATTCAATAATATTTCTCAGATCACTTAAAAAATTGTAAATTGCATCATTAAATTGCTGTGAAATAAATCCCAGCTAGTTTTTGTGTAATTTTGACACTTCACTGCTGAAACCTATATGTGGCTAAACTTTGATTGCAGGTGAGGTCTGTTATGAATTTTTAATGAAGTCAAAATAATTGTTAAATTTTATGACTTGGAGAGAGATGGAAATTGGTTCCATGGTCAGTTTGAGAAATGATGAGAATTTGACCTGCACCGATGGTGCTGATAGCTGAACATTAGTCATGGCTCTCCTGTAACACCGGTGTGTGACAGTGCTAATGATAGTCATTTTGTAGCGTGACCATGCAGTGGAATATGTTTATAGGAGACAGAATGGGAAAAAAATGAGTGAAATTCCGGCCCTAGCTGTTCCATCATTGCTTTAACCTTTCATCGCAAAAAAACACACAAAAATTTATCACAATAAAAAAATAATAATAAGGCACATGTGGGGAAAAAAACATTTCCTCCTTCCTTTCCAACCTGCAGCATGTATTTGCAAACTTGTGATAAACTTGCATTGACAAGTCATGTCAGATTTCTTCACTTTTGATACCAATTAGTATCTTTTCAAGTCTTGTGTTTACTGACATTCACGCACCAACTCTGGTGGGATTTTTCTTTTTCTCAGGCTTTGGAGGTTTCAACTGTGAAATCAACCATGATGAATGTGTCCACGGATACTGTGCCAATAATTCCACGTGTATTGACTTGGTTGCGGACTATGAGTGTATCTGTCCTTCAGGCTTTGGTGGTAAGTTATCTTTATCATTTCTCCTGGCAGTCCTTAAAACAGAGCAGAGATTGATGGCTATTGAGTGCTGATAACCATCAACCTGTCTCTTTGTCACATCCAAGAGCTCACTCACTATTTCCCAAATGAGTGCGTTTGATTGAGGATAGCAGTAAAACAGTTTTATTCCCTGCAGAAACCAAAAATCAGAAAATTGAAGTAAAAATGAGGTGAAATTAATTCTCTATAATGACCCTCTTTTGTTGTGCTTAAATATACACTGTATACAGAACAGTAACAGTGCCGGTTGTAAATTTTATTATGCCATCACATGTTCCTTGGTCACATATTTCAAACGTTGACATCAGGGTGGCATTCATTATAATCATTCCGTAGAGTTTTTGACTACATATTTTTTATCAGGGTTATGAACATAAATAATGTTACTTACACACATCAACTATATGTAATTTACAGTAGCCATCACCACAGTGTCACCCTAATGTGATACCAAACCACACATACCCTTAGATTATGCAACAGTAGTTTCAAAGCAGCATAATCAAGCCTGATAAAATATCAGTTTTTGTGATACTAAGCATGCCATTACTGTATCCAACATGAATTTCTGAATTGATCCCATCCAATCCAGATACAAGAAAGCTGTAAGGTGGAATGGGAACAGTGTGAAAAATGAAAACCTACTAACACCTGCTTGCATCAGACACGTCAAGGGTTCATGTCAAAACTGACATGTATTTGGAACTGGTTTTATTTTCATCCCTCCAAATAATAATCCAAATCACTTTTAAAAAACGCCCATATCATTATGCTTCTGTCACCAATTTTTCACAGCGGGTACAGTTTATTTTTATCTATCCATCAGTGCACATATATAAAGCATTGCTGTCATATGTAGAACAGAATCAACATTCATAGGTGCATCTCTGAGTGTTGCTGTTTGCCTCTTCACAGCCTGATAGACCAATTTAAAATAAAAGGTTCACTTTTTGTTATATTGCTTTTCTTACAGATTAATTTTAATTGATGCTGAATTGGTAAATGCAAGTTGTTTAGAAATGTCTCTCCATTTCAGAGAAATTAAACAGACATTTTGGTTGTATACGGTAAGAATTATTGCTAAGGCATGCACAAATCTCCTTACTTTTCATGTTATTTACACATTTAATTGACACTCATATGTTCTTTAGCTTTAGTTTGAGAAATGAGTTGTGGCATATGTTCTTTTTACCTTTCTTTATCCTTGTCAGATGGGGTCTTAGCTATATTTTCATTCTAAAGATTTGGGTCTGTTTGGTGAAATTGAGCTAAGCTTTTACATAATGTAAAAATATTGACAAGCATTTACTGAAACAGAAAATAAAGTTGTTTTTTTCTTGTGTTTTTTTGTGTCTTATGAATATTATTCTTATATTTTTAGGTAAGAATTGCTCAATATATCTGTCGGCATTTACAACTGACCCACACCTCTGCAAGAATGGAGGGACTTGTTTCCATAATTATACCGGGGAAGTAGAGTGCATTTGCCCCTTAGGTAAGGAATTAATTTTATTTTATTTTTTATGAATTAAGTGTATATGCATTAATTTAAATTAGAATTAGACTTTATATCGGGGTTCTGTCTGTAGTTTAGTTTGTTGAGCTTGAACTTTGCACTGAGCTCATGGTGTTAGACAGTTGTTTTTACCTGCTGCTTTTCCTGCTTAATGCAGTCTCCACCGTGAACTCTGAAAAAATATCGCTATTTATTGCTGCAAAAATCAATGACAAACACATTAACCCCCAGACAGAATCACGGCTGATATGACACCACAACCAGTGTGTTAGTCTGCTCCCACATTCTCCTGTAGAATTAATGATGTTTCTTCTGGTTTTTTTTTTTTTTTTTGCAGCCCTAACTTCAAGCTGCATTGATTACACAAATCGGTGTCCATAAGAAAAGAAGAAAAGTAAAACAAAGAAAAAGAACAAAACAAACACTTGCAACTGGGGCATCATAGGACATTAAAATATGTGAATTCGATCACACGTAGGCAGACATAAAGAAACTGCTTACAGTACATCACTCTTCTTCTTTGATCTTACCTTTTTCAGGCTACCATGGTAAAGACTGCTCCTCATCTTTGAGCCAGTGTGTATCGAATCCATGTGACCCTGAAGGAACAATTCTCTGTGAAGGGCTCGGAAGTACTTATAGATGTGTGTGCCACCATGGCTACACTGGGACACACTGTGAGACACCTATAAACCACTGTGTTGATGGTCTTTGTCAGCACAGTTCAGCATGTGTGCATCTGTCAAAAGGTTTCAGGTGCGATTGTTTGCCAGGTGGGTTCACCCTTTAGCTGAGGCTTTTCTCTTATGCATTCCTTCAACTGAATCACGTACAGCTGATGCTTTCACTTGTTTAGCTTTCTTCTCAGTAGGAGTTTAATCTCTTTGGCCTTAAGCAACAACCCGCAACAGCCTGTATGCATGGTGTAAGTCAGGACTGTGCTCATCAGGATGGAAGTTGATTTTGAAGCACTGATACTGCTCAAGATGTCTGTGCCTTGAAATATGTTTTATAAAAGTATAATATAATGATTTTTAAATATAATAGTTTTAGTTTTTTGTGCTTATTTGACATGTGTATATATATGTATACCGTATAGATACTGTATATAGGTGTGTGTGTATATATAGATGTGTTTGTATATAGATGTATATGTGTGTGTGGACTTGTTTTTATGTTTGTGTGGGGACTTTAATCTGTTTACACACTGTTCTTCCATAATCCTGGTCCCCATATGGTAAAGCATAACGGTTTCTTATGGCTTATAATATGCAGCATATGGTTGATAATGGCTGTTTCCACCATGTCTAAAACCTTTTAATGTACTTTATCTAAAGCCTACTTTCCTAAAAACAAAACAAAACTGAGTTTAAAACTTTACTTCGGATCTTTCAGTCACACAGATTTAATGGGTTGTTTAAAAACAACTCAGTTGACAGGATTTGGTATTTTTTTGGGGAGCAGTTGTTCTATATGAACGAAAAACCAATCAACTTTTATTAAACGATAGGCTAGATAAAGAGCTGCTAAAATTAAGTTTAGATTACACATAAATAGATTAGTTAATTCTGCAGGTAAAAAGGGAATTACCTTAAGTTTAGGATTAGGATTAATTCGGTGATAACAGTAGAGGTGCTGAGGAAGGTTCTCAGTCAGTAGAGAGGTGAAGCCATTCTTTGGTTAAGCCATTCTATGGGTCTAATAACCATTAATAACAGCCGTTTAATAGGATGATAACATTTGAAGAGAGTGATTGGTCAGTCAGTCAGTTAATATAATAGAACAGGTAGAAGACATATGGAAAGCTTAACAGTAGTTTTCTTTTTTGTGGTTTTCTTTTTTGATTTTTTACAGGTTTAACAGGCAAATTTTGTGAAATAAACATTGATGAATGTGAGCAGGATCCCTGTGGACCTCTCAGCATTTGTAGAGACTCTCTAAATGGCTATGATTGTTTCTGTGCACCTGGATTCATTGGTAAGCACTTGAAGCTGTGCTTTGTAAGGTGATACAGCCTTTGTCTCTCCTTTTCGAGAAGTAATGAACATTTTGCTATTGTTTGTATTCTCCCTTTTAACATTTTTAGGAAGTCAATGTGAAATTGAAGTGAATGAATGTCTCAGTCAGCCTTGTGATAATGGAGGCACCTGCATAGATGAGCTCAATTCATTTAGCTGCCATTGCCCTGCTGGATTCTCAGGTTGGTGACCTCTTAGATTCAGGTTATTTTAATATGTATATTAAGGCATTTTTCAACTGACCAAATATTTTAATGGTTTAAAAAGTTTATTTTAAATTTAACAACTTCGCTAAACTTGAATCTGATGGATCAGAGGTTGTTCAATTCCTCCCTTTGTCACATACTTTTTGCTAAGCTGTTAACTGATCCATAAGGTGGAGTGAATGACTCGGATTATATAAGCATTTCAGGTTAAAGAAAAGTCACAGCTCTATTCCTGAGTTTTGTGACAACCTCTTAAAGACTTGCATTTGAGTAGCTTTAAAAAAAAACAACTTGGTGTTTAAAAAGTGATATAGCAACTAGAATAAACTAACAGTTAGGTATGTCAGAATGGATGTAATAGGTACAAAAACATGACACAACCGGACATCGAGGGCTGGAATTTGGCAACCTACTTGTTTTTTCCTTTTTTTCAAATGCTTTAATAACTGAAACAGAGAAATGGGAACTTCTAACTTTTTTTTTATGTGGTTAATGATAATAATAACAATATAGACTAATTTAAATGTAAGAAAAAAAGAGGGGGGATTTCATAGGCTTGGGCTTATTTACCCTCTGTTCTAATTAAGGGAACTCCTATTTATTTCATATTTTTCTCCATATTAGGAGGCTAATTCGATATCTTCCCTTAATATGCAAACCATTACATTGACCCAGTGGGACGTGCTTATCCAACTCTACCCACATTGGCCCAGCAGTGATGCTGTGTCACTATTGGCTACAACAAAAAACAAGATAACTCTGAGCATCATGCCAGTTTGGGTTGATAGATTATAGCCATTTGGAAATCCATGCAAACCTGGACACTCCACCCCTATTCTCAAAGGTTTTCCATTCTGGCTGCTGGCATGTGATTCCCTGATCACAGGCACACTTAGGAAGAGTGTTGTAGACAGAGTGTGAAGGTTTCAGGACCGTTGATGATTCATATTTAAATATCACTGACTCAAGGTCCTCAAAAAAATTTCTCACATGTCTGTGAAAAAAGGCAGGTGCATAAAAAAAAACAAAAACAAAAAAACATTCTGCAACTGGTACACTCATTAGAATTCTGTGTATTAGCCAAATTTCAGCGTACTGAGCTGTTGCCAAAAATCCTGGAAGATGGAACCCAGATTTCACATAAAGGAGTTTTATATTCCAAAGAAATTAGCTTATCAGACCAATTTTAGCCTAGTGGACCTAGTGTGCTCTATCTTTGCAATGCAAATTTCCTGCAATGTTGTCAAAGAGAAAGAAGTTGTAGCTCATGTGGGTAAGGGATATTTAACTTCAGGACAATTTAGAATGCTGATTGGTCTGTTTCTGAGAGGCCTCCTGGTTTGAGCGACAGATGACGTCATGTCAATTGTTGTTGAAAAGGCACCGCAACCAGTTGTTTCTTTTAGTCAGCACTTAGTGTTACCCAATGTGTAAAAATAAATGCTGCAATTTACACATTTAAAAAAAGTAATTATTTGAAAACAGAGTTAGTGTTGTTTTTCTCTCTTTAAACTGTTTTTTTTTTCTGAGATTAAAAACGCTTAGAAACGCAAATGGTTGGAACTAATTTCTGCACGTAATTCTTAATTCTTCACAGAAAATACATACTGAGAAAAAGATAAACAATTAAAAACAGAAAAACACTAAGTAAACACTTGCCACATGCAAACCATCAAGATACATCTTCAGGGAAGGTAGCAGAGTTATAAAGCAAGCTCCGTCCCTTGTAGTGTTACAAGAGCAGCACAAGCAGTGCTCTGTAATTACATGAATTGTTGGCGTAATTCAAAGACCCATTATCATGTTGGCATTTCACACTTTGTAACAGCCTCCTCTAGCGCTCACACAGGCTGTAAATGTGTGAGACTGTGATAGTGCAAAAAGAAAAAGGAAACATCTTGTGGCTTAGTGTGTTTTCTGCTCAGCTGCTTTTTGCCTTTACCCAAAACAAAGGAAGGAATTTACATTCTATAATGAGGCCATAGTGCTGTTGTACTTTCCATTTTGTGTGTGTATACATACATATATATATATATATATATATATATATATATATATATATATATATATATATATATATATATATATATATATATATATATATATATATATATAGTTTTTACATCTTTTTTTGATGCATATATTGTCATTGTAAACCAAACTGTCACAAGAACAGCAGTCAAGGTTTTATTTTGTATTTTAAGATATACTATATTCCATGTTTTCTTTGTTACAGGGAACTACTGTGAAGTCAATATAGATGAGTGCGTTTCCTCTCCTTGTCTCCACAATGCCACATGTGTTGACCTTGTTGAAGGCTATGAGTGTGTCTGTAGGTCCGGCTTTACAGGTTAGTGGATTGTATTAACATTAATTCATTCTCAATCTTGCTTTCCCAACAAGAGAATTAAGAATTTCATATGTATAACTTAACTGCCACCTACACAAATGCTGTTGGTAGGCATGCACCTCACATAATAAAATCCACACTACAGTAGACTCCATCAGTTAGATTGTAAGCCCCCACAGCACTTCAAATGTTACAGTATGCTTGTATTTATTTATTTTTTCTGCATTTGGTGTTTTTCCACTTATTCTAATAAATGAAATATCATAAGAAAGATTTTTTTAAAAATTCCCTTTCCCATATTGTACACATTGATACAAATTTAAATGGACTAGGTCATTGCAGCAAGTCCAATCTATATAGACTGTTTTTTTTTTTTGCAGTTAACTGGCTTTAAAATAAAAGAAAAAAATGAATTATTATACAAACAAGGAAAAACTAGAATACGTTTTAAAAGGGACGCGGGCAATAAGTTATCAGATTAGTTTTAATACTATTATGCTTTAAGATTAATTGATAAAAGCAACAATTTAATTCTCCAAAGTCAAACAACATAATGGCTTTTTAAAGATTTCTGAAACACCCCAAGTCATTTATATAGGGAAAAAAATATTCAGTATATCATTAACACAACTACATACATTTGCATGGGCAAATCAAAGATTACCTGCTGACTATTTTCATCTGAAAACTTCACATAGATTACTCAAGATATTTAGTTGAAGGATATAAGATGAAAAAGTGATGAATGCAAGTCTGTTGTTTAGTTGTATTCTCTTGTGTTTGTGTTTGTGACACAAACAGATTAATTTTCTGATATTTTTGTGCAATTCAGACCTCATTACAATGTATTCATCAGTTTGTGTTACTTCTATCAAAGGTACAAAATGTGAGCTTGACATTGATGAGTGTGCTTCATCTCCTTGCAAGAATGGAGCAACTTGCGTTGACCTGCCCGGTAATTACATCTGCCAGTGTGTGGCTCCATTTAAAGGTAATGAGTACTGAGAGAAGGGGGACAAAATGCAAAGTTAATTAACTTCACATACTATTATTTTCACCCGCCTGAACCCACTTCATATAGCACATTACAATGAGTACGTCTTCGTTAGGCATCTCTGGTTAAAGGAAAACGGGAGTGATCGAGTTGATGTAAACTTCATCCAAGGCTTAGGCTAACCAAGTGTCAAATTCCATCCCTTTTATACATATCTAATGACGATGAATCGAGGCATACATAAAAGGTGAATACCTATAGATGATTTGAGAAATATGTTACTTAGATTCTGTTATACATTACCATTACCAAAAGTGCATCTTTAATTAAAACACCAAGTAATTCAGTACAAAAAAAGCTTAGAGCTCCTGAAAAACATCTATCTGTGCAGTATATGTTCTTGGTACTTGTGTGATGTTTATGTGGCAAGCTTCTGACCCAATGTAGGAAAACTCTTATGAGATAAGAACAAAAGTCTAACATTTTTTATTTTAAATACTGGAAAATGTGGATTTCTGTTTGCAGGAGGGTTAGAGGGGTTCCTTGATTACAGGAAGCTGTATAACAGTAATGAAAATGAGCTGTGTTCAAATTCATGGGCCGCATCCTTCAAAGCTGCATTTGTCAACTTTATGTTGTCGCAGTGTTGCAACAAAGGCTGTCCCAAACACTCCTTTAAAACTCCCATTAAATCTTTCAGCAGATAAAAAAAAAGAGAGATTTGCTGGAAGGATAGAGAATATCCTTAATGGCCCATCATTTACCATGATTATTGTGGGTCAAGGTGGGCAGCTATTGTCATGATTGGTTCTCAGAGAAGCCCAATATGCAGAACACCACGGAAACAGATGGAAAGTTTTACAATGTTTATTAAAAACACAAGCACATAAATTATGTGAACTAGAACTGGTTCTGGCCGGGGACAGGTTCACTGGAGTCTGTGAGGATGATAGTTCAGTTAGCGTTGGCACTGAGGAGTTAGCGTTTGGAAGTTTCAGAAGATTACCTTGAGGAGTCCAGGTTCTCTTTGAGGATGGAACTGTTGGGTCCAGAGACTGATTTGTTCAGCAGAGTTTAATAACCGCTTCAGCCTCTTACTTCTGACTTGAATGCAGACCTTGGGTTTTGATTTCCAGCTCTTAGCCAAGAGCTGCAGAGGAATCCAGAGGAGAGTCTTCAGGTTTGGCTCTGAGGGCAGGCTCGGCAGGTTAAGCTCATCCAGAGCTTCCAAGGGAACAGGTTTCCTGTGAAGCATAGACAACGAAAGTTAGAAGAGAGACTGATCACTAGGGAGATCACTAGAGATTCTCAGGAGGTTCTAGGCTTAGGTGCTAACCAAACTGGATCAACACTGCGGCTTTGAGGCAAGGTCTGAAGGCCGGTTATATACTGCAGGTCCTCCTGATGACGAGATGCACCTCAGGTGTGTTGGAGGCTCAGCTTCAGGAGGATCCACGGCGCACTCTGCTGGAGACGGATGGTACCGCTCCAGATCCCAACAGTACCCCCCTCTCAACGACCGCCCCTTGGCGGTCCAGAAGACGTCGACAGGAGGGAGCGCTCACACTCCTCGATCAGTGACGGATCGAGGATGTAGGAGCCAGGAATCCATGAGCGGTCCTCCGGACCGTAGCCCTCCCAGTCGACGAGGTACTGCCAACCGCGACCTCGACGACGGGAGTCCACGATCCGGCGGACGGTGTAAGCAGGATGTCCATCGACTTCCAGGGCAGGTGGAGGGGAGTCGGACGGAGGGCACAAAGGACTAGAAACCACTGGTTTTACTTGAGAGACGTGGAACGTGGGATGTATACGGAGACTAGCAGGAAGTTGCAGACGTATGGCTGAAGGATTGATGACCTTGGAAATCTTATATGGACCAATGTATCTAGGAGACAGTTTGCGAGACATCCCCTTGAGGGGAATATCCCTAGTAGAGAGCCATACCTCTTGACCGACGGAGTACTCCGGGGCAGGACGTCTCCTTGAATCAGCAAAGCGATGGTGTCTCTCCAGACTCGCTGACAGCAACGGATGTGATGATTGACTGATTGCACCGAAATCTCTCTCTCGTCTGCTGGAAAAAGAGGGGGTTGATATCCGAGACTAACCTGAAAAGGTGACTGGCCGGTGGATGCAGACTTGAGAGAGTTATGGGCGTATTCAATCCAGGTGAGATATTGGCTCCAATCGGTGGGGTTGTTTGAGGTCAGGCAACGGAGAGTGGACTCGAGCTGTTGGTTCATTCTTTCGGTTTGACCATTAGACTGTGGATGATAACCAGACGTTAGAGAAGATTTGCAATTTAGAGCTGTGCAGAAAGCCTTCCAAACCTGGGAAATAAACTGAGGACCACGGTCTGAGACAATATCCTGAGGAATTCCATGGAGTCGAAAGACATGCTTAACGAGGAGCTGGGCTGTTTGGAAGGCTGTGGGGAGCTTTCTGAGAGGAATTAAGTGGCAAGATTTAGAAAATCGATCGATGATGGTGAAAATGGTTGTCATACCTCGGGAGATGGGAAGTCCAGTGACGAAATCGATGGCTTTGTGAGACCAGGGATGAGTAGGTACAGGTAGTGGGTTCAACAGACCTGAGGGTGGTAGATGTGAAGTCTTGTTTCTGGCGCAGACAGGGCAGGCCAGAACATACTCCTTCACGTCCTTGTGTAGAGTAGGCCACCAGAAACGTCTTGAAATTAAATGGATGGTTCTGCTTACCCCCGGATGAACGGAAAACTTGGCTGCATGCATCCATTGGATCAGGCGTGATCTGACTGAAGAAGGGACATAGGTTCTGTTTGGAGGAGAAGGTCTACGAGAAAAGAAAGCACAAGGATGTACTCTTTGATCCGAATCGAGTTTTTCTGATAATACTGCACCAACTCCAGAGTCAGAGGCATCCACTTCGAGGATAAATTGCTTGGTTGGATCAGGCTGGATTAGCACGGGGGCTCTGGAAAACAAAGTCTTAAGTTTGTCAAAGGCGTTTTGAGCTTCGGGGGTCCACTGGAAAGTCTTTTTGACTGAAGTTAGAGTTGTGAGAGGTAAAGCTGTCTGACTGTAATTCCTGAAGAAGCGACGGTAGAAATTGGCGAAGCCCAGGAATCTCTGCAGCTGTTTACGGTTTTCAGGAACTGGCCAATCCAAAACTGCTTTTATCTTTTCTTCGGATGGCTTAACCTGCCCGCCCTCGAGCACAAACCCTAAAAATGTCACTGAAGACTGGTGAAATTCACATTTCTCGGCTTTTGCAAAAAGTTTGTTTTCCAGTAATCTCTGTAGGACCAGGCGGACATGTTTCTTATGCTCGGAGAGATCTTTAGAGTAAATTAGGATGTCATCAAGGTAAACGAAGACGAAAACGTTCAAAAAGTCTCTGAGGACATCATTGACCAGGGCTTGGAAACATGCTGGAGCGTTAGTGAGACCAAAAGGCATGACTAAATATTCAAATTGACCCAATGGAGTTTTGAAGGCAGTCTTCCATTCGTCTCCTTCTCTAATCCTGAGAAGGTGATAAGCGTTCCTTAAATCGAGTTTAGTGAAGACGGTGGCCCCTTGAACTGGTTCGAAGGCTGATGCTAGTAACGGAAGTGGGTATTTATTTTTGACTGTTATTTGGTTAAGGCCTCTGTAATTGATACAAGGTCTTAGAGAACCATCCTTTTTACCCACAAAAAAGAATCCGGCACCCAACGGAGAGGAAGAAGGGCGGATTATGCCAGCAGCTAGGGACTCGTTGATGTATTTCTCCATAGTTTCTCATTCAGGTTTTGAAATGTTGTAAAGTCTACTGCTAGGTAGAGGGGCGCCAGGTAATAGCTCAATCGCACAGTCATATGGTCTGTGAGGTGGAAGAGACGTAGCACTGACCTTACTGAAGACAGGAGCCAGATCATGGTATTCGGACGGGACAGAAGTAAGGTCAGGAGAGTCCATCTCCCCCCTACCTCTAGGAGACCTTACAGCGGGAGCTGCGGAACGAAGGCACGTCTCGTGACATGAGGTCGACCATGCTTCGATGTGGCGATCAGCCCAGTTTATATGGGGATTATGTAGTTGCAGCCATTCGAACCCAAGCACCACAGGGGAACATGCAGAGGGAAGCACAAAAAATGTCAGAGTTTCACGGTGATTACCTGAAATTAGCAGCTCGAGGGGTTGTGTTTGGTGGGTGACTTGGTGGAGTTTTTTTCCCATCAATAGCGGAGACACAAAGAGGCTTGGATAAAGGGATAGTATCAATCTTTAGCTGCTGAACCAGGTTGGAGTCTATCAGATTGCGTTCACAGCCTGAGTCGATGAAAGCAGACAAAGTGAGAGTCTGATCTGAAAAGCACAAAGTAGCTGGAAGCATGAGACGAGGAGATTTCTCGGAAGTTAAATGGCCCGTCAGACTCCTCAGATCTTCTGAGGGGCCCCGGCTTTTAACTTAGCGGGGCATGAAGCGATGAAATGGCCAGTCTCACCACAGTAGATGCAAAGCTTGCTTCTGACACGTCTTAGTCTTTCCTCAGGGGTTAGCCTTGTATGTCCAACCTGCATTGTTTCAGCTTCCGTTTCTACTGCTTGAGAGACCTGAACAGGCTTAGAAAGTGACTGGGTCTTAGACCATGGCTTGGAGAAGGGTTCTGTGGGACCAGAAGAAAAAGTAGCATTATTAGAAGCAGGGGTTGACACAGAAGAACTTTGATTTCTTCGTCTAGCATGGTTTCTAGCACGGATTCTGTTATCCAACCTAATGGTTAGGCGGATTAATTCATCTAGAGTTTCTGGTTCGTCGAGGGTTGCAAGTTCATCCTTGATATCTTCATTTAAAGCGTTGAAAAATGCACTTGTAAGAGCCCGTTGATTCCATCCGGGAGCAGCGGCTTTAACCCGGAAGTTGATGGAGAAATCAGCAACTGAGGAATTTCCCTGTTTAAGACTTAACAGAGCACGAGAATCAATCGTCTGGTCGGAATCATGGTTAAACACTTGGGAAAACTCTGAAACAAAATCAGAAAAATTATCGCTGGTACTGTCTTCGGAGGCAAACCTGGCCTGAGCCCACTCAAGGGCTTTTCCTGTTAGGTGGGACAGAATAAATGTTATTTTTGTTTCGTCCATAGGAAAACTTCCAGGAGAATTCTGAAAAATTAGTCGGCATTGGAACAAAAATCCTTTACAATCCTTCATATTACCTGAAAACTTTTCAGGGAGACTAGAGCGAAACTCAGGGGATGACGTCACCACCGGTGACCTCGGAGGCGGAACTGGACCCGGAAATGATTGTGCTGCCGGCGTGGCATTAGCACTACTCATGTTGTTAGCATACCTTTGAAGCATTTGGTTATGGTAATTGACCATGTTGTATAACTCACGGAGGGTTTGAGTCTGTCCTTGGATTTGAGCATCCTGCTCTTCCAGTCTACGGTGGAGGTGATCTGCGGGGCCTTGTGTTTGGCCGCAGTGTTCTGTCATGATTGGTTCTCAGAGAAGCCCAATATGCAGAACACCACGGAAACAGATGGAAAGTTTTACAATGTTTATTAAAAACACAAGCACATGAATTATGTGAACTGGAATCCAGAGGAGAGTCTTCAGGTTTGGCTCTGAGGACAGGCTCGGCAGGTTAAGCTCATCCAGAGCTTCCAAGGGAACAGGTTTCCTGTGAAGCATAGACAACGAAAGTTAGAAGAGAGACTGATCACTAGGGAGATCACTAGAGATTCTCAGGAGGTTCTAGGCTTAGGTGCTAACCAAACTGGATCAACACTGCAGCATTGAGGCAAGGTCTGAAGGCCGGTTATATACTGCAGGTCCTCCTGATGACGAGATGCGCCTCAGGTGTGTTGGAGGCTCTGCTTCAGGAGGATCCACGGCGCACTCTGCTGGAGACGGATGGTACCGCTCCAGATCCCAACAGCTATTATACATGATGGCAGCAATAATTGTTCTTAAAAATACATTAACACATTTTGCTTTCTGTGAATCAAAATAAACTTTTAATATTTTTAAGTTAGAATATATTTTTTTAAACTTCAGTATTTATTCAGTTTAATAAGATTTCCCTCTAATTTAAATTAAGTAACTCCTGCATTTCTCTCGGTGCTACCTTGCCTTAGCAGTTTTCAGGCTATGGAGGAGTTTTTCATCCTTCTCCCTCAAAGAAGATGAATGATTCCTAGCACATCTTGTTGAAACTACTGCACTGTGTTTAACAAGTGAATGGAAGTTAAATGTATAACTCAGTCAGATAATATTGTGATGTTAATGTTAGGCTTGTTCTTGTATTTTATTTGTCACTCAGGAAATCTTGACTAAAACTAAAGTTATGCTTTAAAAGCAGTTCACTTTATTTAAATTAAATGTGACAATCACAAAAAAATCACAAAAACACAATACGTTTGTTTTGTAATCATGTTCAAATCGAAATCTTTACCTGTCCTATGTAAGTTGGCTTCACAAATGTCCCATGGTTGTCAGTTCCAATTATACACTCGCCAGCCATTTTATTAGGTACATCCATCTAAATACTTAAGACAAATTTCTATTCAGCTAATACTGTAGCATGGTAGCAATTAAATGTATTTAGGTATATAGACATGGTCAAGATGATCTGCTGCAGGTCAGCCAGGGCATTGGAATGGGGAAGAAATTATAAAAAAGATTATTTTAATTTACTTTGAACATGGCTTTGTTGTTGGTGCCAGATCGGCTGGGTGGAGTATTTTGAAAACTGAGATATACTGGGATTTTCACTCTTACCACATACCTCCAAATTTTTCTCAGTAATATGCTGTTATGAGTAGATCAATATAAATACCAACTATGTTTTATTCCAATTGATACTACTTCTACCATCTCTATTACTGCATGGGTAGTAGTTGTATTCTCCCTAAAGCCATACTGATGTTTGTTTGAATTTCACATATAATATTTGTAATATTTTTCAAAATTGTAATCTTCAATTCAGATTTAAAAATGGTGATTTTAATGTTCAAATTTAAATTGATCTACAAAGGCAGCATATAATTGTCTACTAGATCCGTATCTGTGATACTTTAGAATTCAATGCTTATACCCTATCATGGTAAACCATTCTGGACTAATTATTCCATGACAGGTAGGAAGAACTTGGGTGGCATCCATGGAAGGAGGCAGAGGGATTTCTTGAAAATTTAAGGAGGAGCTAGTGCAGTGGTTCACTAGCTCCTCCTGGTTCACTACCCTGCATTTTTGGGTGCCTCCTTCATGCTGCACACCTGAGTTAAATGAATAAGCGCTGGAAGGGTGCTGTGAAGTCTTTGTTCTCATTTCAGTTAGGTGTGCTGCAACATAGGGGTGTCTAAAAGATACAGGACCAGGGTTAAGAACTACTGAGCGAGAGGTTCGACACTGAAAGCATACTGCCTAACTACTACATATCAAAGCATAAACAAGCTTGTGTTTCTATCTTTGCGGGGCCTTTTCCATTGACATAAATTGGCCCATGACATTTATTGCTTTATTTTTCATTTCTGTAGACGTAGATCTCATTATGCTTATATATATAGGTATATGAGCATGATCTGTTCTGGTTTGAGATGCTGCACAGACTTGTTAAGTGTGGCTTTGCTTCATAGAATGTACTAGTGTTTTTTTTATTTATTTGTTTATTAACTTTTCATAATCTGTTTGAATCAAATGTGGGAGCCTCTATCTATGCAGTCAGTGTGTCATGGGAAAAAAATGTGTACCAGAGATTAAAAAGTAGTATGTACTGTAACTAATGTGTTCAGGCTTTAAGAATAGTAATGTATCAGTATTAATACGGTTGTTTTCTTAGGCTTCTATCACCTCTGCAGCCACATCTGAATGCCTCGCAACTTGAGTTAGCTCCGAAGTTTATACTTTATTCTGAGTTGTCAAAGCTTAATCTAGTTCCTTTACTCATGGAATCCCATTTTTTGTGATGTTTTTTTACATTTGATCTGGGACATTCATCATTATTTTCACACTTGGCTGGGAGGTTTTAACTTGCTTAACTTCAGTAAGCTACCTCCTTGTTTACACATGAGCAGTATCATAACTCTTTTTGATATTGTAAAAATACAAGAAGGACTTTATTTTTCAAAAAAACTAAGCACAAAGAAAGCATAAAACATTTATAAATAATATGCCCGTAAGAAAAAGTTTCAGAAAAAAAAATGTTTGTAACCAGTTGTGTAAGTTAACAAATGGTCTGACAATGCACCTTTAAGTCTATTACTTGGTTTGTTTTACAAGATTCCAGAAATAATTTGCAAGAAAGTACAGATAATGATTTCAGCAGGTTTTTGTAATATTGCATTAAAAACAAAAAACACTGGCTTCCTGCTGTGCACTTTTCAGTTTGTTTGTTAGCTATATAGGCTTTGCTTTATATTTAGTGTCTGAAGTCGAGGTTTGATAAAACCCTAAATAAGTTTAATTTGTAATACAGTACTCACATTTTTTGACTTGTATTATATTTCTGCAGATATTATTTTGCTCTGGATAGTCCCACTGTGTATTTCTTTTCTTGACTCCAGGTTATAAGTGTGAATTCTTGCCCTGTGAGGCCAGTAATCCTTGCGAGAATGATGCTGTGTGTGTGGAAGAGTTGGATCAGGACCGTTTTCCTTTGGGCTTCCGATGTCACTGTCGTCGGGGCTTCTCTGGCCCCCGCTGTGAAATCAATGTGGATGAGTGCAGCTCCAGTCCCTGTTTTCACGGCTTCTGCTATGATGGTAAGAAACAGCTTATGTTGGCAACATTCTTAATAACAAGCCCTCAAGATGGGAGGAAAGCTTCAAACATGCATTCATGCACACAGACATACACCCATTCTCGTCTTGCTATATGTAGTGAAGTCCATGTGTTGACTCTTATTGACTTCCATTGATTTACAGCGATTTTCCAACCTATCTATGGCCTAACTCTGTCCCTACCCCTAAATCTAACCATTAGCAGTAACTACACTGTACCTCACAACAATTTTTACTTAATTCGATATACACCTTACACCTACCTAAACCTAATCGCAGGCAAACTGGGTTGAGTACAAGGAGAATTCCCTCACTTTACAACAACCGGACCTTACTTTGCCGGTAAAATAAGAAAAATTGTTCTCACTCAGATGGACAAACAGGAACACACCAACACATACACAAACACACAGCTTATTTGTTGTGGTTTGCACAAGCCATCTTCTGGCTTCAGGATTAAAAAAAAAAGGGAAGTAGTCTAAAACCCCTTAAATCTGCGAAGCTCTACATGGGTGAGCATTTGGTATACTGGCTTTATCTTTACTGTCTGTATACTGGTTTTATTTAGTATGTGAAATTTGGGGATGAGAGGAATTAAATCATTTATGCAGTCCAAATGGTAAGGTCTGCACTTCTCAACTTGGTCTATAAAAGAACTGAGGTAAATGCAATAAAGTATGTCACAGCCTCATAAATTGTGTAGGTAGATACTGTCAGACACCTTTCATTATGTTTGTAGCAAAAAACAACATATGATCTTTCTATCAGTGAATGAACCGTATCTTTGCCTTTTTTGTTAACATTGGCACTGTTCAAATAAATAATATTACTGAGGGGAAAACATTCAACCTATAGTTTTCTGTATAAGTGATATTATTAATAAAAGGAGATGAGGGAAGCCAAACAGGTGAAAGAAGATTGAAAAATAATCACAAACATTTCCATAAATATATCCTCAGTAGAAAAAAAAAGCATTAAATACCATTTTTTGCAATTTTTATTTTTTTATTTTTTGCAAATTTACAAATAATGGAGAGATCTGTAGATCTCATTATACTGGAAATGACCTAGTGAGAGAGAGAGACAACTTTTTATTTTTTCGTTACATTTTGTCTATCAAAGATATAAACTGCAGTGGAAAATGCAGAGATCTCCATTCTTTCCAAATTGGAAAATTTGTAAAATATGTATCATATTATGTAGGGTTTTGGCTACATGTAATTGATTGTGGCACACTGCCACACCAAAATGAAATCCGCTATATACCTTCAGAATGAATAAAAAATATAATAAAACATTAGTAAAGCATATAACATAGCATTTTTGCAAAATTGTTCTAATCATAATCAGAATTTAAATACATTTAAATCACATGAAGTGTTCAAATATACTTTATTTTGAAAGGCTAAAACTGCTGGCTCCTCTCTGTCTTGCTGCAAAAGGGCTAGCTAGTGTGTGAAGCTTACTGATGTGTACAGTGCACTTGCTCTTGATAGTGAAGAAAAACTAGAGACTGTCGATTGTTGCCAGGTTAGCCACTTTTGCTATACTTACCCCCAGCCTTAACCCCACACTGCTCCCTTGGCACCCCACGATGGCATCCTAATGCTCCCCAAGGGGATGGGTTAAATAAAAATGGATGTTTCTCCAATGTGAGATCAATAAACTTCAATTATTGAGAGACTGAAAAAATCTAGTGACTTTTCTCTGTGTTTTTAACAAATTTGGCAACTTAAAAACTGTAATTAAGAAAGCAGCAATCGTTCCACTGCTGCTGTCTCATACCAGCATAGAGAGATTTCATTAGTCTCTCAATGCTTTTCTTAGTGGTGTCTCATAGGAATAGACATCTGCAGTTGTCTTATCCTAAAAGCCCCACATACAGTGATACTCCGTACACACCAAACGCGTATCTATCATGAAAAAGGACTCCAACTTCTCAACTTGGATCCTTCAGCTCATTGAAGTCAAACGCACATTAATGGCATTTTGTGTGCAGAAGCTTTGGCGTTTGGGCGTTCTCTTTCTGTACAATGGCAAATGCTATGAAGAGAGTGGCTTTGCTCTATTTGCCTGAATTAGTGGGAAAAAAATGTACTTTTACAAGGCTTTTAAGAAAGAACTACATGTAGCACCTCAAAATGTAATTCATGCAGTAAGTTAATCAGAATTATAATCCTAACTTTAAATAATCCGTAGCTGTTCCTATGACGTACCAGCAAGGGAGCTGTCACCTGGAATCCAACGATAGCTCCCTCTAGCTGGGGATGCTGTAGCGGGCATCATTCATAGCAGCTGGAGGTGAAGGAAAGCCTTTCATAGGTGGTAAAACTGAAGGCAACAGGACATAAAATCAAACATAATTTGTTCGCGAGTTTTATTATTATTTTAGGTAGATATTTATAAACTTTTACTTTAATGGAGTTATGAGAGAACTCTTACTTTTCTTTGAACATGTAAAAACTACGTACTCCTGGCTTGTTAAAGCTTAAGTCTGTAAGTTTTTAAAAATCACTTTTTTGTCATATTGGCTAAAACTGTCCCTATGCCCAGACATCAGTACATGTGATATGTAACCTGTAAAAAAAAATGCTTCAATTGGTTCCGCATACTGCCTGTATTTCAATCTGGAAAGAATATTTCGGGACGAGCCAAAACAACCAATCACAGCCAGAGGAGCGTCTGATGGAGTGTCAATCACAGCTCACACACGCTGAATCCCGCCCCCTCCCTCTCACCGCTGAACCTGCCGCAGTGCCCGGCTGCTGCAGTCAGGAGGACGCGCGTGGAAGTCATGGCGGAGCGACAGCCACCAGCGAAAGAGAAACTGCCCTTACTGCCCCTGCCGACAACTGCTTACACAGCAAACTTCGGTATAACCAGCATCTTATATCTAGCTGCTTGGAGGTGAGTGTTATCGCTCTTACCGGTTCACACTCCATGCCGCGTACGCTGCTTGGACGCTTCTGGTCGCATGCGGTAGCCGCGCAGATGCTGACAGAGGGGTGGAGCTTGGAGGTGGGGCATGAGTGAAGCAGAGAGGGTGGGGGAGTGGCATGAAACCTGTTTTTCTTCAAATTTTCAGTCGAAGTCTGCTCTCTTCTCAATGTTACAGACTGCAGCTTTAAGTAAAGATGGTGGAGTGTAAGATGTCCAAATATATGAATATATTCTTGTTTTGTTTTTGTTTTTTATATGGTTTTATGCTGACAGCCCCAGCTTTAAGTGCATTACTTATTTTAATTAAAAAATTTAAATGTTCTTTTTTAACCTCTTAAACCTAAAACTGCTGTTTTCCTTCCATTTTCTTATGCATTACAAACAATGTATATCTTTCTTTGATTCCTTCTTTCTTCCCTGACATTAATTTGACCCACTTATCAAATCATTGCTTTGGTAGGGTTACACTCACTGCTAACACATTATTTAGCAGGAAATCTTAGAGGCATGAGAGTCCTACACATTGCTTGATGGAGCGTACCTGATTGGTTCCTTAATATGACTTAAAGCATAAATTAGCTCAAATGTTGTGTTACAATTTAAATAGTAGATGACAAATTACATAATTTGTATGCCTAATTTGATTTTATTCTTTATGTGTTATCTCAAGCCCATGAAATCTAAAATCTAATTGGACATTATAATAAAAGTAATGCAAACTATAAATCATTCATTATAATTGTAAAAGAGAAATAAGATTCCAACTGACCAATTTTCGTTCTGCAGTTTAAAATATATAAAAAAAAATAGTATTTATTTATTACTACTAATGGCACAATTCCTGTGTAAGACTCCATTATTGAAGAAGAGTTCTATATATCCTTTTCTAAAATTCCTCCAACTGTATTCCCTTATTCCCTTATCAATGGCAGTATATTGCTATCAAAGAATCACTATTTGTTCCTCTGTGTTACAGCAGAAGTAAGACAGCTTTCTTGACCAATATGTATACAAACAGGTCCCTTTATGTTAGAGAGCATGTGCCTCTACATCCTATTGGCTGGTGCTCAGCTACAACCACCAGGGACAGCGCCGTGCAGTCACAGAGGCTTAGATGAGTAATGCTGCTGCCACCAAGGACTTAAAGCATTTAATGAGAGTAATAGCATCTACACACAAAAAGACAGAGTGACAGCATAGATTACGTGGTAAATCTTTGGGATAATGAAGAATCCTGGGACCCTCACTGGGGAAGTAATAAATTTACTCCTGTAAGAACTGCAATTACCTCTGTCACTGGCTTCTTGTACCCATGTTGTGAAGGAGAAACGGAGTTAGGCATCCCTTTGTAACATCATTAATAATTATGAAAAGGATGGAATGCATTATTAGATGTGGGAGACTCTAAATTTTGATAAACAATACAACCATATTTATAGCATTTGAATATAGAAAACATCAAGTATTTGGTGTCTTCTCTTCTGTTAATCTCTCACTTTATTGTATGCCCTGCGTGCATGTAGAGTATGCAGCTGTAAATGACCAGCTTTTTCCGAGTAGAAAATGTAAAATCCCATATAGGAGGCAAGAAAATAGCCTCCACATAACAGTTGATTTGAAGATGGTCAGAGTAGTAAAACCCATGTGGGTAATGTTCATTCAGCAAAGGTTTTGCAGATTCTGCAGATTGTGTTTTTCTATGATTATGACCTTTAAAAAAAACACTCAGTCTTCAATGGTCATTTTGCCTTGTACTCATAATCAGCAATTTGTACAGATTTAGTACCCACAGAATGACAAATTATTTTTTATAATGCAAAGTTCTATAACTGTCCTATTTCCCTTTTCAGTTGTAGATGGGTTTTATTGCCTTTGCAGTCCTGGTTATGCTGGGCTGAGATGTGAGGAGGAAATTGATGACTGTGTCAACAGTTTGTGCAGCCCTAACTCAGTCTGTAAAGATCTACATCAGGTGAGTGTGCACATTTTTTGCAGTCATAATGGTTTTTTTAAAGGCTTCAAACTGGGATGTGTACTGAGGCTTTATATCACTACCAAATTTAGCATTAGAGTTAAAGTTGCCTTGGAGATTTAGGACAGTAATGTATTTTACCTGTTGTAGTATAAACGTACAGTTATTGACACCTCTACAAGGATTGCAAGGGACGTGGTCTGGAAATTGGACTAGTGCAAAACCCGGATTGCTCAAAGGTCCACTTTTAAGTTTCCACAATCAGTGATGACTCAAGGGGCCATATATGTTTTATTAATGCCAAAAATCGGCACAGCCTTGTACCAGCCAATATTGGAGTGCTTTTTTGCTTACCTCTGCTTAAACCTTTATGGTGATGCTGAGTTCATTGATCAAGAGGACTTGTGACCTGCCAACATTGCCAAAAGTACCAACCCCTTGTTTAATGACAATTAAATGACTGGGCTAGGCTGGTCTGACCTAACCTCTATAGGGAAACTTTGGGGTTATTTTCAAGAGAAAAATGGCAGACCACAGGACCCTACATTGAAGATGACCTGAATGATGCTGTGAGCAGGGCTTCCTTAATCCCTCAGTGAAACAGGGTGATCACTTTCATGTCATACCGCATTAACTATAGCAAGAAGCCCTGATCAAGTACAGTATATGGATGTATTTCTCAGTAGGATGACATTTCTATAAAAAAAAAAGAAAAAACATTAATACCTCACTCATAATCTTCCAAGAAATATACTTTGTGAAATCATTAGTTACAAGCAAAAACGTTTTATTAATAACTTTATTTTGCCATTTAATCACTTCCTTAGTGTGATTTTTTAAACTCTCAACATGCTTCTTAGAGGAAAAACCTACATGTAGTCTAAAGACTTTTCTCTTTAGCACCATGGAACCAATAATACATAATAAATTCATTTAATTTGAAAAATAGAAGAAGTATTACTAATACATTGTTCTAGTTTGAAGCTTAAATCAAAAATAAGTTTGGTAGCATGTTGAGACTTTGTTGTAGAGTCACAGTTGGCCCTCTGTAGTCATGTGGTTGTGTTTAAAACCAGACCCATTGATTTGTTGCAGCTGAAAAGATGCCTTGGGAGCCTGTATGCCGTTTGCTGGTTTGCATAAGCACAAGGGTTTTTTTTCCACCATCTGCTTATTTAGAGACATATTGCATTGCTGACATAGATATGTCAGAAACAAAGACTTTGACTGTGTTTTTCCCCTTTCTGTCTTCTATTTTATGCACCAACAATAATCGGAAGCAAAAATAGTAATAATAATAAATCAACACATTGGTAAATGTTTAAACACTCAGCCTGTTTCAGAGGTAGTAACATTTGCTAAGTTGCGGTATAAGTAACCTTTAGTTTGCACAATTCTTTTTACCTTTACTTAAGTAATATTCTTATGAAGTATCCCTACTCTTATTTGAGTTGATTTGCCCACTCTTAGTAATATAAATTAATGAAAACAAAGATGTGACCAAGAGTTGTTGATTTAATGTTTTCTTCTGCCTGATGTCCCATTATATTAATTAAGCATAAAGTTAAGAGTGTACGTTCTCACTGAAAATTATTTACCTTGTTTTAACTTATAATTATACATAATGAGTGCTGTTAGAATTTGGCTCCTAAGATGTTTGAAAAAAAAAATAAAAAAATTGGAGAAGTACTCTGCCTGAATTTATTTAGGGTTCATGTTATTTTGTTATACTACTATTTTTGTTTTGCTTTTTAAAATACCTGAATTTATTTATTTACTATAGTGCTTTCTTTTTGATCATATCAGGATTTTTTTTATATTAAATCTTCTAAACTGTTACACTTACATTGAGTAGTAACTTAGTTGTAAGTTAACCTTAAAAAAGAAGCTATGAAAAAAGCACAGACTATAGCATAAGACCTCGTGGATTTCTAAAATCAGGTATTACAGTAAATAATGACAACTTATAGCAATAGCCTATGTATTTTTGAAGGTACTTTTTAAAAGAAAAAGGGGGTTAGGGTCTGCAATTTTTCATCTTCTAACATTGAAAAAAATCCACTAAAATTAAATAGAACTGAACCGAATATGCAAAATAAAATGCTATCATAGTCATTTTTGCTCTTATTGTTATGGTGTTTTTTATGATATGTATTATTATTCAAATAGTGACAGTATTAAAAAAAAAACTTTTGTAACGTTGTTTACAGTACATCTATTTGTCTCTGTGAACACTGCATCCCGGTGAGCTTTAGCTTATTTTTCAAAATTACAGCCCCTGAAGGTGACTTACCAGCAAAAAGAAAAAGATTATGCTTTTTGCTCATGGTAAGGAATTAGAGTCTCCTGAAGCTATCTAATTTATCACTGGATGACGGCATTTTGCTTCTCTGCCTTTTGAGCCTATATTGTACAAATTATATTATACCATTCAAATGCTTCCCTTCAGTACATGAAAAAAGGATTAGCATGTATTTAACAAAATGCATCTTTAGACCTTAAAAGGTATTGGGAAATAAGGATTCCCAGCAGCTCTGTTTTCATCAGTAATGTATGCAAAAGGATTGTTAATTAACCTTGTGTAACAGAAAGTAAACGACAAAAAATATTTATTTTGCATTCTTTGATCTGGTATCATAATACAAATATGAATAAGTGACAAGTGGTTTACATACTTATTCAAATCCACTTGATTTAAATAGAGAAATATATGACCGTTTCTGAGACTACACTCTGTAAAGATATTTTAGATTTTTTTTATGCTAATAACAATCAGAAAGCCTGATTATAAAAGCATGCTTATAAAATCCCATATGATGTGTGTTGAATGGCACTGAAAAAACAGGCCTTTATATTGTCCGTAGGGTGGTGAGTAGGAGGAATACATCTGCATAGTAGTAATAGGAAAATACAAGAATGCTTTAACTGTTTCTGCTGAACCAGATTTCCGCAGGAAAGATTTTGTGTTATCAGAAGTAGGAAGTTTCATTATGCTTTTTTTATCCGACTGTTTTTGTTTTTTTATACTTTTAAGAATTGCATCTTTTCTTTTTCTTTATTTTAACTTGCATAAATAGGTGGATAAATTTGTGGGATTTAAAATCTGCTGCGTAACAAATGGATTAACAGCTTCTACAAATACAGTATGCATTACTTCAAAAATATGACACCCTCTTCAGTCTTTATCTTTACGTAAAACAACTTCAATACCAGCTGCAAATGTGTTGAAAGGGTCCCCTGTTGATCTAAGGATATCTCTTTTTTTTTTTTTTTTTTTGCAGGGCTACGAGTGTGTATGTCATTCAGGCTGGGAGGGGAAGTACTGCCAGCAAGAAATTGATGAATGTTTATCACTGCCCTGCAAAAACAATGCCACCTGCAAAGATCTTTTCAACGGCTACAAGTAGGTTATGCTATTTGGCTTGAGGGCACAGTTCTCAAGGGTCACATTGGATATTTAATAAATGCAAAAAAAGAAGCTGTTTGGAGATAGCAATATATCCTTCTACTGACAGCAGGGGTAATGAATTGCAGATGGCGGGTAAAACAAATGAGACAATCAATATCTCACAGCATGAAAAGGGTTTCAGGGGATCAGGTACTCATTGGAGAAGAAAGCCAGTGTTGCAACTTCAGCTTGTGGCCCTCTCTCACAGGAAACATATAAAAGTGCTTCAGGTGGAAGAAGTTGGGATTTGGATAAATATGCAATGTGTAGTGGTTTCCAGTTTTCTAGCACTCAATAGCACTAAGTGAAAGATCCATCTGGCATTAAAGCAGGTACTTTAGATTCACTGACAAACACACACCCTCTTGTATTCTGTTTCTCTATCCTGTCTCTCTATGTTATGCATGCAAGCATTTCTTTTTAAGTTTGGCACTCTAACCTTCCATTGTAACTCAGACCATGTTTAACACACCTGAATCAAGGGAAACGAGTTGCCGTCTTATCCCTAAGATTCTTTAACATATAGCTAGTAACCTTATTATGCGATCCAAATGTGTTGATAGAGAGTCAAATATAAACGTTAGAAGAAGAGGGATGTCGACGACTGTTTGACACTTGTGGTTTACCCTCAGTTTGCATTGCGGCTGTCTCTACTACGCTCTGCTTGGTTTCAAACTCCACTGCAAATACTCAATGAAAAAAATAATACTGTACCTATGTCCCTGTAAAGATGGTCATCTGGCAAAATTGTGTTTTTTGCCGGGTGCTGCACTCAGGTGTAATCAGTCTGCACTGATAACTTTGCACCAAAAATAAACCCAAAAATCACAAAATTTGTGTTTTCAAATAAGTTGTCGAAAAAAATATTAGATACTCTTAAAGACCATGCTATTTTGTAGAATAGGCAAGTATATTTTGGTCTATATTAGCAATTTCCCACAATATTGTTGTGCATTATTGGGCTCTAAACATTACTTAAGATGAAAAAATATTGAAAAACATTGTTGTGCCTAAGTGATCAGCAAATTGCTTCTCTGCACTTAATGTATCCACTTATTGTAAAACCTGGATGTAAAAAAAAAAAAACATTTGCTTCCATAAAATTGCACTTTGGTTTATTCTGTGATCTGTAGATTCTTATGAAAGCACCCCTGGGCTCTACATTGCAGTGGAGTGAGCCAGACACATTCTTAACAAGGAAATCAGGGTTGTAGAAAAGTTTGCAAGGAGGTGTGACATAAATTGTGGGTTAGGGTTTGCTTTAAGGTGAACCTCTGCGACACTTTGCAAGTCTGTTGCAACCTGATTGGTTGTTTTCAGGGACCGCCCTGTATTTAGGTCCGGCTATTCTCCAATTACCCCCTTCCGTCCCTACTAAATAAAGCTCCATCACTCCATATTGCTGCCACTATCCTATCACTCAAGCATAGATAAATATAAACATGATATGCAGGGGTATATTCTTTCCATGTGTAATATTTTGCACTTTAACCATAAAAGTACACATAACTTTAAGGTGGACTTAATTTACACCTAAACTGATTTCTGTAAAGAATTGGTTTGGGGTATTACAGTAAGCATTTAACATAAATCTAAAAAAATAAGTTTATGGCTGTAATGTGACAAAAGTAAACAAGCCCAAATAATATAAATACCCTTGCACATTGCTATATTTTATAAAGTTTGTAACATGCAATGCACTGTACTAAAGTACTAAGAATATACCTAATGTGCAGTTTATACAGTAATAGTTCTAACCGTTACTCACTTACCTCTACAGCACAATTTCTCCTGCTTGTTGTATCCAAGGTGTTTATGTTCACCGGGTTGGACAGGTGTGGACTGTGCACTGGATGTGAATGAGTGTGATTCTGGACCCTGTCTAAATGGAGCTCAGTGCACACAATCAGACATACCTGGGGAGTTCTCCTGCACCTGTTCCCCCTTCTTCACCGGCTTCCTGTGTGACTTGCCGTATGACCCCTGTGACTCCCTCCACAACCCCTGCCTGCACAACTCCACCTGCCTGACATGCTCCGATGGAACAGCCTCTTGCAGATGCCCAGCTGGTGAGTGAACACTTTGCACTAACCTCAGAGTAGCAGAGCTTTATTTTTAGTCATTATTACACATATTTATTTAAAAGGTTGCTGTAAATCTTAATTATAAATAGCATATTTAAAAAAAAGGCTATATTACTTATTTACCTTTCATGTGGAATACAGGTTTTCTGTAAGAAAGTTACTTAATAAGAGACATTAAAGCAATACTAGAGAGCCAAGGACTTGTTTGTTCTTTTGCTCAACTCCCACACTCTCTAAAAGCTGCATCCGTACTGCAAAAACAAACCTCGAGCTGTGCAAATGAAAATTATCACTTATGAAATTGTTGTCAGACTGAAATATCTTACAAAAAAACCCAATAAATTACACATTAAAGAGAGAGAATGTTTGCCAGCAGAACACATAAGACGATGCCATTGATTTAAATACAAATGTAATACAGTGTTCTTTTTTTGATTTACCACCAAAATACCATTGGTGGGATTTGTTCCGATGCAGGTCAGTTGTTTGTAATTTAGTTTGTTTTTAAAGCGAATATTCCATTTGCTCTCTCAGTACCACTCCGGCTTTGAAAGGTCAGTATTTCGATTTATTCTTTGTCTAAAAAAAATTAAAAATCTGGCCACAAATCATTTCAATAAAAAAACAATTTGTTGAAAAATATTCCACATAGGATCAATTTAACATTACAGAAAAACATTAATAGGTCTACCTTGACTGTTATCTTCATAAAAGTGCATCAGTGAGGAAAATTGACTCCTGGCAGGGAGAATTACAAACATTGAGGACAGCTATAAGTGTCTTCAGATTCCACAGGCTAATGGCGACTATGAAGAAGCCAAACAAAGCTCCAATATCCAAATAAGGTATAAGAAACCAGATCACTGACAAGAACAGGGTCTGGGCAATCAACAGCTATGCCTTCCCGATAATCAGATACATGGAAGGGATAAAAAGTCAGTCAAGTAAGATATTCAAACCATAGATGTTATCACTAAAAAACTACTCCACCACAAAGCCAGTATACACGTGCTATATGGTAAACAAGCAGAAAAAGGCAAAGGACTAGTGAGAATTTGAGTGCCTTTTCAAGGTGTAACAACCAAGCTTCAATACATAAGGAAGATTCCCCTAAGGGACAAAGCATTCAGTAAAGTTCTTAAGACAATGAAAACTGAAAGAGAAGGAACTAAAGGATCAATCATACCAGGAATAACCCACCATTTTATGCATTAGTTGGAGACAGCTGAAGTGGCTAATATAATCAATTCCTACCAATGGCTAGAGACGGATGATCAGAAGGATTCCGGTCATTTCAGTGCACTAGCAGACCATGAGCAGCAAAGCAAGAGGCAACTACTTACAGAAAAATGGATACAAAGAAAAGGAACTGCCCCAAGATCAACAAATATACAGTAAAGGACCCCCAAACTCAGAATCTGTGGCTCTTCTTCCCTCCATAAAAGACATTTCATCCCAGCGCTGCGTGTCCCGTGCCCGAATTATTATCAATGACCCCTCACACCCCCACCATGGACTGTTCTCCTTGCTGCCCTCTGGGAAGAGGCTTCGAAGCATCTGATGCAGGTCCGGCAGATTCCGAAACAGCTTCTTCCCGACCGCCATCAGACAGTTGCACTGTTGAAAAAAAAACTCTAAATCAAGTCAAAGACTCTGCATCAAACTGACAACACCAAACCAAAACACTGCATAATTGTACCATACATATTCAATGCTCTGAACTTCCATATCAATGCATTTTGCTGAACTTTAACAAATGGAAATGTTATGAAAGCTGTACAAAACTAAATCTTGTTTTATATAAAACGTAACAAGCCGGCCTCCTGTCTGCGACACTGTCTGCAGTCACCTAAAATATGGGAAAGGTGCAGCAGAGTGTCTGCGGAGGGGGCGGGGACGTCTTTGCGTTCATTGCGACACCTACGCAGACGACATAGTTTCAAAGTATAAATCAGCCTTAAGTCTCACATGGTTTGGTCAAGGACCAGAAACTTGGGTCTGGCTGGGACCACTTAAAGAGGGGCTGCGAGAGGGAAGACTTTATTCATCTCACAGGTAGAAATTTGAGTGTCACAGCACGATTAAAAAACTAAATGAAACTTCAAACTAAAAAAAAAATGCATAATTAACAATCTAGGCACCATGGGAACTATTCCACACAGCCAAGTCAATATAGATTCCCATTCAGAGTTATTGCAGTTACTGCAAATGCAGCCTCAAAACAACTTCAAGCCAACAACTCGAGATCAGTTTTTATTTAACATCTTATCATACAACCTGAAAGCTGGAAGGAGAAAAAAGTAATGAAAACATTTAGTATCACACCTAGGAAGCCTCAACTTGTTTTTGAAAGTACTCTGAAAGGAACAGTCCAGTATGGGAGGAACAGTCTTGCAGAGCGGGCTGGAGGATTTCCCATTACAGAGGGATATGCACAGTTTCAAGAGGGAATCCTGCAACAGGACTGGCTTTCTTGTTTAGTTTGTCTAGCCTCTGTGTGTCCTCTGCAAAGCTGCTGCTAACCCAGCAGGCTTCTTCATAAATAGCTAATATCACATGTTTCTGCTCTGGCGTAGGAGCAGCATCAAAGAGAAGGGAAACAATGCAAAACCAACAGTTAATATGATTTATTAAAATCAAAACTTTGGAGTAGGGAACACTGTCTGGAACAGGAAGAAGGTCTGGATGTGGAGCTCTTTGCAGCAGGGACTGGAACAGAATCTGAAGCGGAATCCGCAACACATGTTGCGTTGATAGAAATGACCTGTGAAGAAGAGCAAAGCAGAAGAAGCAGGAAAAAAATATTTCTCCCTGAAATGCAAAAAAAGCAGAGACCTCAACTATTATGAAAGGTCTTAAGAAGCTCCCCCAGTGCTCGAAAAGACCTCAGCCTCCTGGGCAGGTTCAATCTGCCCCGGGCCCTCCTTTGAGGAAATGCATTGTTGTATGTCCTTTTCAGCTTGCTATTCAAGAGCACATTCAGGTACTTATAGGTTGCCGCCATCTTAATATTTGTTGCCAAAATGCACTAAGGTATGGGTGGGGCTGGTTTACCTCTGAAGAAGTCCATTACTGTTGGCATGTGTTTGCATGTTTATCTACGACTGTATTTATAAAGTACCCTTTGAGAGTAACAACCTTTAAGCAGGTATTAAACATATGTCTTTCAGTCCACTTGTCCGTATTAAAAGTATTTTTTTACTCGTCTTATATAATGTTGTGTTTTCATGAGCAGCAAGTGAAAGTCATCTTAATGTACACAAATACAGGTTTAAAGACATTCAGCTATTTAAGATTATCTATGCAATGTGTGTTACTCTGTGAATTAGGTTTAATCCATGTGTATCTAACAAAAAATGGTTGCATGTTAATTTCACAGCCAACGTGCCCTAGGAGATCGAAACTGCAAAAGCAAAAACAACAAATTTAACACATAAATATACTGTATGCATAAAGCCGTACAGTTCTGGAGAGCAATAATATGACTTCATTTTAGTTAAAATCCTGTTTGAATGTTATATTAGTAGTTTGTATCTTGAAATTAACCACTTTTTTTTATTTTTCGACTTCCCGTCGTCAGGTTAGGGTGCTATGAGGTTGCGCTGTAACTAATGGCTCTCTCTGTACTAAGATGAAAGAGATGTTGCCAGATATAAATAGAGCAGCTGGGTTAGTTTCAGAAAGGTTCCTTGGAGAGGAAAAGGAAATTGGGAACTGGCTGCATACATTACAACAAGAGCTTTGCGTGGGTTCGGTCGTTTTCTCTTCAGACAAGCGACTGTGACTCACTACTCTTCCTTATTATTCACCATAAATTCAACCTACATAACAGTCACAGAGCTGTTATACAACTTGTAACTTGTCATATTTACCATTCAGTATAGGTGTTAAGTCAAGTAAATTGTGTTGGCTTCAGAGTTTTCACATTTCTAGTTAGAATAAACATTTTCTGCATTTATCTTCAGATATAAGGCAAATTACATGGATAGACATCACGTGCTGAATGTTGGCAAAGTTATTTGACTTTTATTGAAGTTTCATTTATTTTTCTATTTTCTACTGTAGTTAACATTTTTGTCAGGACAATTACAAATTATTATTTTCATTTTTATGGATAAAAATTTCAGCCCTTGGGTAAAAAGTAGCTATAAAATCTGTTTGTCTAGTAAGTGGACAAAGACGTTATTTGAGTTTGTATGCTACAAAGTTACTTTAGAATTTATCCATCCTTACCGACTTTGTCCTATTGACGATTGTGAAGAGGTGAAATACAGATTCAGACTTACAGTATGTTCAGTCTAGCATCTGAGGTTGATTTAACATGAATATCTGAAATATTTACCATGGAAATAGACAGGTAAGATAGAAAATTTTATACAGAAAATATCTAGTTATTAAATTTGAGTGTACAGGAAGATAGCTTACAGGAACAGTTTGAGTTAATTGCTTTTAACTGTGGCTTGGTATTGATTTGCTTTTGAAAGTTTGAAAATGAGCATAATGGTACATGGAAAAAATCGCCAGCAATTAAGTTTTTTTTGTTGCAAGAATGTATAGATTAAAATCAGCTTCTGATATGCAGGTTCAACTGGCATCTGGAGATAGGAGAGAATACATAGAGAAGGTGATTTCAGAATAATATTGTAATAAAAACAGTCATTGGGTCTTGGCTTACCAGGGGTAGAGTTACTGGTAAACCTTTAGTAGGAAAATGTCATAAATCAGTAAAACATCCTCTTAGCCATTGATAAGGTAGTCTAAAGTTGTCAAACTCATTTCCTGAGTTCCAAAGGATGATTGCACAGGACTTAGTGGGCAGGCAGGCTACCAGTGGAGCATATAGTTAGTCCAAGGAGATCCATGATTAAACAGAATATTGTAGAAAAGAGGACAAACCACAAAACTCAACATGGCATGCACAAAGCAGAAACAGGTGGTTAACTTGACAGGAAGATCAGACTTAGAGTGGCTTACTAAGTGGCTCA